AAAAAGGGGGGGGGGCCCCCCCCCCCCCCAAATTTTTTTTTTTTATTTTTATTTAAAAAAAAATTTAATCTAGGATATTTTTAAGGTGAAAAGGTGGGGTAAGCAGAGCTGCGAGTCAGCATAATTTCCCAAAGTTGACTTTATCAAAGCTTTATTTCATACATTAGGCATTATATTGTTAGTCAATGGTAATTCAAAGTGCTTAGAACATTGCTACCCCAGAAGGGAGTGCACGGCCAAAAAAACAGAACAAAGTTACTTCAAGAGAAATGGTTTGTTGCAACCCTTCAGACATTCTTCACTTAAGAAGATTTGGTCCAGGTGGAGACTCATTAAGGACTATAGTTTGTGTTGCTTATGTTTATATATCTTGTGTTGCTTATGGTCAGTTACTCAGCTGCTTTGAGATCAGTCACTATGGGTTATGAGGAACGTGTAGATCATAGAAATAAAAGTCCTAGAACGATTATATTTCTATGTTGTAGAATGGGGCAAGCTGCAGTACATTAGTAACTAATGGTGCTGATTAGTGTCCATTACACACAGCCCAGCTAGCACAAAACGTTCTGAGAACCATATGTTTCTTAGAGCTTGGTGAGAGCGTGGTTGTCCTATGGTTATTTTGAATACAACCTTTCCACAACTTTCTGGGAATGCTGCAAGATAGTTGCATGGCCTTGGAACATTCTCAGCACATTTAAGGAGCTTGACAAAAAAACTATGTTTTCTTGGTATTTCTTTACTTTAACAAAAAGTTTCCAAAAGTTCAAACATGATTTAATTTCATTTAAAATGTTCTCAAATAGTTCAGAGAACGTTAAGAAACAACGTTCCTCTGTGGGAACTCAGCCCTTTTAAAAATGCAGGGCTTATGCAACATAATTTGTTGTCTTACATTTTTTTTTAAATCTTACATCAGACTGATATACATATGAGGACAATCCATTGATGTAAATATATCCCCTGTCTGATTCCCAGTTTGTCCACTAAATAGCAGTAGGAGATCACATGAAGTCTCTTGGCCTCTGGTTTGGGTAGTGAGTCACTGAACTGATTTTCAAGCCTGACATCTTAAAATTACCCTAGAAATCAGGGTTTTTCAAGTTATCCATTTTTTTGTTGTTGAAATAAGAAGAAGAAAGGTGAGAACTTATTTTCCCATTCACTTTTCCTATTTTAAACGAGTGAGATAGATCACGGAGCATGAGGAGGATGCATACAAGGTAATGTGGATGGAGAAGGAAATGCATTGCTTTACAATGACCATCAGGGTGTACCTTTCCATGCATACTAAATGTCCGACATTGCATACTCTATGAATATGACTATAGCGCATTATTTATGGCCTTGGGAGAGGAGAGGAGAGCAGAGGAAACTTATGGCTTCGTTCCCACAACCAATATGAAACCAAAAACATACATTTACACAACTTCCAAGGAACCAAATGTGCTAGCTGGGAGGGCTGTCAGTACGTTGGGAGGCTGGCCATCTCTAGCAGGTGGCCATGGTTGGAGACGAGACAGCACACTTCCTGGTTGCAGATGCCCATATGTTTTCCACTGCACACAATCTGTTGTGGTTGTCATGTATAAGTGCTGAAACCAACATCACAAATCCAAAAGTGAATTTGTCTCAGTGGCACCTTAGTAATACGATATGTTTTATTGTAAACCAAAACCAAGGGAAACAACCGTATAACGTCTCACAATGTGGTTCAAATGTCAGTAAGAAGACATCTGTGTGTCTGTTGCCATAGGCCTCCGTGTAAATGTCGAGAAGCCCCTGCCTGCACCTTCCCTTCCCTCGCTCAGTGCCTTGAAAGATTAATTGTGGGTATTCAGTGGCGAATGGAACATGTGTCAGGAATGACTGTGAATTACACACTGGCTCCCCAGCCAGCCCACAGGCCTAATTACCCAACATAGTGGCTTCCATGGGGAGAGCTGCTACTGCTGCCTCTGATGCTACAGTTCTGCTGCTGGAGAAGGGAGAAATAGTGGATAAGGAAAAACTGGAGTAAAATACAGAAAGATGCAAAGCTACGAATTGGCACATAAACAGTTTTGTCGTCAGTTTATGTTGTATAAAAAATGCAGCTGGCGATGTAAATTATGTTATAGTTTGATTAATTTATGTACTGTATATGATCTACAAATAAACGTATTAACACAGTTAACATGATAGTCTAATTGAATTGCAGTCTATTTACATAAATCCATCTAGAGGGAATATCCCAAACTAAAATCAATGTTGACTAGTTCAAATGAGAGGGGTGATCAGGGTTCAGACTGAGGAGTGTTGGGTAACAGACTAACAGGTATCAGTGACAGGTTGGCCAGCCACAGTAGTTCCACAGGTCCAACATGAAGCCAGTCTGTCTCTATTTGAACCTCAGGACTTGGCCCTTCCCTAATCATCAGCATACTGCACCACCTCACACAGGTCAAAGGCTCGTTGGCCAATGGCCACACTTTCTTTTTATGGTTTCCAATATGGCTGTATAATCACATGCAAGTAAGATGCTGCCAAATACTTTTTTTTGTGCTGAATCTTGAAAAGGCACAGAGTACACTCCCACAGACGCTGCACTTGATGAATGTATGAAATTGCTTCTTCCAATTATTGATAAACATGCACCTGTTAGGAAACTGACTGTTAGATCTGTTAAGGCTCCATGGATTGATGACGAATTGAAAAACTGTATGGTTGAAAGAGACAAAAGGAGTGGCTAATAAATCTGGCTGGTTGACTTACTGCAAATTGAGAAATTATGTGACTAAACTCAACGAAAAAGAAGAAGAAACTGTATTATGAAGCCTAGATCAATGCTATAAAGAATGATGGAAAAAAACTTTAAATGAAATGATGGGCAGAAAAACAACTTCAACTCCATCTTTAATTGAATCAGATGGCTTATTCATCACAAAACCATTTGATGTTGCCAATTATTTTAAAATAATTGGCAAAGTGGGCAAACTTAGGCAGGAAATGCCAACAATGAACTGTGAGCCATTGTATTCATGTATAAAAAAAACAAATAATGAAAGAAAAGCATTGCAAGTTTGAATTTTGTAAAGTTAGTGTCGGAGAGGTGGAAAAATTATTGTTATCGATCAATAATGACAAACCTCCTGGCATTGACAACTTAGATGGAAAGCTACTGAGGATGGAAACTGACTCTATAGCTACTCCTATTTGTCATATCTTTAATCTGAGCCTAGAGGAAAGTCATTGTCCTCAGGCCTGGAGGGATGCCAAAGAAATTCCGCTACCCAATAATGGTAAAGCGGCCATTACTGGTTCTAACAGCAGACCTGTTGGATGTTTACATACACCTTAGCCAAATATATTTAAAGTCAGATTTTCACATTTCCTGACATTTAATCCTACTAAAAATTCCCTGTCTTAGGTCAGTTAGGATCACCACTTTATTTTAAGAATGTGAAATGTCAGAATAACAGTAGAGAGAATGATTTATTTCAGCTTTAATTTCTTTCATCACATTCCCAGTGGGTCAGAAGTTTACATACACTCAATTAGTATTTGGTAACATTGCCTTTAAATTGTTTAACTTGGGTGAAATGCTTCGGGTAGCCTTCCACAAGCTTCTCACAATAAGTTGGGTGAATTTTGGCCCATTCCTCCTGACAGAGCTGGTGTAACTGAGTCTGCAATACCTTGACTTTGTTGTCCTTAAGCCATTTTGGCACAACTTTGGAAGTATGCTCGGGGTCATTGTCCAATTGGAAGACCCATTTGTTACCAAGCTTTAACTTCCTGACTGATGTCTTGATGTTGCTTCAATATATCCACATAATTTTCCTTCCTCATGATGCCATCTATTTTGTGAAGTGCACCAGTCCCTCCTGCAGCAAAGCACCCCCACAGCATGATGCTGCCAACCCCGTGCTTCATGGTTGGGATGGTGTTCTTCGGCTTGCAAGCCTTCCCCTTTTCCTCCAAACATAACGATGGTCATTATGGCCAAACAGTTCTATTTTTGTTTCATCAGACCTGAGGACATTTCTCCAAAAAGTACGATCTTTGTCCCCATGTGCAGTTGCAAACCGTAGTCTGGCTTTTCTATGGCGGATTTGGAGCTGTGGCTTCTTCCTTGCTGAGCGGCCTTTCAGGTTATGTCGATATAGGTCTTGTTTTACTGGGATATAGATACTTTTGTACCTGTTTCCTCCAGCATCTTCACAAGGTCCTTTGCTGTTGTTCTGGGATTGATTTGCACTTTTCGCACCAAAGTACATTCATCTCTAGGAGACAGAATGCATCTCCTTCCTGAGCAGTATGACGGCTGCATGATCCCATGGTGTTTATACTTGCGTACTATTGTTAGTGCAGATGAACGTGGTACCTTCAGGCATTTGGAAATTTCTCCCAAGGATGAACCAGACTTGTGGAGGTCTACAATTTTTTTTCTGCGGTCTTGGCTGATTTCTTTTGATTTTCCCATGATGTCAAGCAAAGATGCACTGAGTTTCAAGGTAGGCCTTGAAATACTTCCACAGGTACACCTCCAATTGACTCAAATGATGTCAATTAGCCTATCAGAAGCTTCTAAAGCCATGACATAATTTTCTGGAATTTTACAAAGCTGTTTAAAGAGCTGTACTGTTAGATTTCAGTGCAGCCTTTGATATAATTGACCATAACCTTTTGTTGAAAAAACGTATTTGTTATGGCTTTTCAACCTCTGCCATATCGTGGATTCAGAGCTATCTATCTAACAGAATTCAAAGGGTTTTCTTTAATGGAAGCTTCTCTAATGTCAAACATGTAAAGTGTGGTGTACCACAGGGCAGCTCTCTAGGCCCTCTACTTTTCTATTTTTACCAATGACCTGCCACTGGCATTAAACAAAGCATGTGTGTCCATGTATGCTGATGATTCAACCATATACGCATCAGCAACCACAGCTAATGAAGTCACTGAAACCCTTAACAAATAGTTTTAGTCTGTTTTGGAATGGGTGGCCACTAATAAACTGGTCCTGAACATCTCTAAAACTAAGAGCAGTGTATTTGGTGCAAATCATTCCCTAAGTTCTAGACCTCAGCTGGATCTGGTAATGAATGGTGTGGCTGTTGAACAAGTTGAGGAGACTAAATTAATTGGCGTTACCTTAGATTTTAAACTATCATGGTCAAAACATATAGATTCAATAGTTGTAAAGATGGGGAGAGGTCTGTCTGTAATAAAGAGATGCTCTGCTTTTTTGACACCACACTCAAAAAGCAAGTTCTGCAGGGTCTAGTTTTGTCTAATCTTGATTATTGTCCAGTCGTTTGGTCCAGTGCTGCATGGAAAGACCTAGTTAAGCTGCAGCTGGCCCAAAACAGAGCAGCACATCCTGCTCTTCATTGTAATCAGAGGGCTGATATAAATACAATGCATGCCAGTCTCTCTTGGCTAAAAGTTGAGGAGAGACTGACTGCATCACTTCTTCTTTTTGTAAGAAACATTCATGTTAAATTGTTTGCATAGTCAACTTACACACAGGTATGACACACACACACTTACCCCACCAGACATGCCACCAGGGGTCTTTTCACAGTCCCCAAATCCAGAAAAAAAATCAAAAAAGCGTACAGTATTATATAGAGCCATTATTGCATGGAACTCCGTTCCATCTCATATTGCTCAAATAAACAACAAACCTGGTTTCAAAAAACAGATGAAGCAACAACTCACGGCACCACGCCTCTCCCCTATTTGACCTAGATAGTTTGTGTGTATGTGTTGATATGTAGGCTGCTTGTGCCGTTTCAAAAAATGTATGTTGTTCTAACTTTGAGCTGTTCTTGTCTATTAATGTTCAGTATTATGTCATGTTTCATGTTTTGTGTGGACCCCAGGAAGAGTAGCTGCTGCTTTTGCAACAGCTAATGGGGATCCTAATAAAATAACCAATACCCACTGGGCACACCATGTCATTTCAATGTGGATAATTGGGTAATATTTGGTGGAGAAGTTGATAAATGATATTACAACCTATGTTCACCCACTCAAAATGCCAAAAGTTAGTTGAACTTCCAATGTGTTATGTTTTAAAACATCTAAAAGCACAACCAAATTCCAATGAAAAAATGATGTCTTATTTTTGGTTTAGTTGTCATCCAAATGTTTATCACTGCGCTTTCAACCATTTAAACAGCAAAAATCAAATTGAAATACAATGTCAAATTAATGTGTTATTTCTGTGCTTCATCTAATAGCAGAAACAAATTACCTGGATTGCAGTTGAGATTACATTAAAAGTACATGGCGAACGTGATCAATGCCTTTCGAGATTCTGCATAGATTATTACAGCAATTATGAAGATCTTCACAGATCTGCAACCTATGCATGCTATTTTGAACATGCAGGCTTTGATTACATAAGAAGAAATGTATAGTTACAGTAACCTTGAAATGTGGCCATGGATGTGTTACTCATTTTAAGGTTGAATGTTACATTAGTTTGTAAGATAGCCTTAACTTTAGGCTATTTACTGTATTAAAAAAGTAATATTGAATTGTTTTTGGTTGACAATGCAAACAAATATCAACATTCAAAGGAGATGCATTTACTGCTTTGCTTGGATAGTTCCATCTGAGCCACTGGCTTAATCCCATTCCTTAACTTTTGGTTTTATTTGTGGTTGAGTTTTCTTTTTGGTTGAGGAGACGTGAATCCAACATATAATTTGTTAACTTGTCAACAAGTTAATAGGCTGTTTATTGTACTGTTTATTGGCTCTATTCAATCTGCATCGTGGAAATTCAGCTTTACAGCGTGATTGAAATTAAAAGGCACTGTTCCTGCTTTAGTCGAGACTGCATTCACGGTAAACGTTGCATGTCGGCTCAATCAGAAATTACCTTTAAAATTATATTACGGAATCTGTAACGCTTCAGCTTTACAGATTGAATACAGCCCTAAATCTGGCTTTAACTCCAGTTAGTCTACAAATTAATAATTGATATGTTGGATTCACGTCTCCATCTCAACCAAAAGTCAAAGTTTTAGAATGTGACTAAATCAAATCAAATCAAAATTCAAATCAAACCTATTTTTCAACTTTGATTATTGTTTGAGATTGTCATTCCAACATATACATTATTAATTTGTAGACAAACTGGAATTAAAGCCATGCTAAATCAGAGCACAGTTGGAACTATCCAAGCAGAAGATCCATCTCCTTCAAATGTTGATATTTGGCCTATTGTATTGTCTATTTTAGTTGAATTCTGGGTTGAATTGAAACAATAGCCTTTGATGACTTTGCAAATGCTATATAGGCCTAAATATCATCATTGATGATATACGAGTGATAAAGTATGGTCACATTTCATTTGCTCTGTTAAACCTACCCTTTGGAAGGACATCAATAGCAACAGTAAATCTGTTTAGTTTTTAAGTGGAGAGCTCTAAGAAATCATTCTCACAATAGCACATTGGTAATAGTCAGTGACAAATATCATAGCTAAGTTGGGCTTGGTTAAAATCCTGGATGGGATAGATCAATTCTACAGTAGGAGGTGCTGCCCATCCTGTTGTTTTTTCTTTCTGATAGTGGATATAACGTTGAAGATCTGACTTTGTTTCAAAGGTAGAAATTCAACATATTTTATTCAAGGTTTGTCTATGTTGAAATTTGGTTGCCATGATGACATAATCCTGTGTTTACAATTTAACCCTCAAAACAACAGTTTAGGTTGATTACTTTTTTCAAATTCCATGTATTTTCCACATAGATTCCACGTCACAATACGTCGACAAATTACGTTGAAACAATGTTGATTCAACCAGTTTTTGCCTAGTGGGATATATGCATTAGTATGTGTGTATGTTTTGTTCGAAATTTTCTTGATAAGAGTGAAAGTGAGGGTTGGCTGCATGAAGATACAATCACAGCTTGATTGTCATCACCCACGTGTTCTATTTTGAGGCATGGCAGTAGTTTGTAATTTCAGACTAAATGCTACTTTTCAGCTTGGAACGTTTAAGGAACTTAATAGACTGGGAAACATCCAGTTGGCTCATACCTAAGAGCATGACATTTACTGCTGTACTCCTACTGTATGTTTCAGATTTATGGAAGAATCTAGCCAAAGTTACAGTAGTATTTCATAGAATGGAATGCTGGTTCATATATATTTATTTGTAATGTTATTATTATTATTATTTTACATTTTTTGTTAAATGGATTTTTAACACCCTTTGGCCCATTTTGGATATAATGAATCACACCTCCATTTTAAAGATGAAAGGTCAAATCAAATCAAAGTTTATTTGTCACGTACACAGGATACAGCAGTTGTAAACAGTACAGTGAAATGCTTGCTTGCAAGCTCTTACTCAACAATGCAATAATACTAAGTCATATAAAGAAAATACACACAATAAATAAAATACAATAAAACAAGTACACATGAAAATATACACTATATACAAGGTCAATACCAGTACCAGTGGTAAAAATAGATTTGTTGGTGGTCAGTCTTTTAGTGACACAATCACCTGTTTAGTCACCTGTTGGTCCTGTGGTTGTCCCCTTCCCTCTTCACTCTCCCAGCCACGTGTCCCAAAGCAGCTCCCTGGAGGAGGTTCGTCTGGACGGGGACAAGTTTGTACCTCCAGCCCCCCGCAAGGTGGAGATGAGACGAGATCCAGTCCTGGGCTTTGGCTTTGTGGCAGGCAGTGAGAAACCAGTGGTGGTCCGGTCAGTCACACCAGGTAAACACACCAGCCCACCTGTAAACCAATCATGTCACCATTAATAACCACAGCTTCACACATAGCCATTATCTTCAGGAAGTAAGATGTAGTGCTGTACTGTATATCCAATGGTGACCAGATGACAAAAGATGGCGACAAATAGGTGATGACAACCAATGAAAGGCCACATTTTATTTATGAACCAGGCACTTCAGGGTACTTTATAAATTAACCAACCTTTCGCCTAAAGACCAGAGTACAATGAATCCAGAAAACAAAAAAGAATTACTAGCTAGAAACTTTGTAATTGGTACCACTGCCCTGTGGTTCCCTGTGTCTTGGTAGGAGGTCCCTCTGAGGGCAGACTGACCCCAGGAGACGAGATCATCATGATTAACGATGAGCCGGTTAGCTCTGCGCCCAGGGAGAGGGTCATCGACCTCGTCAGGTACAGGAACTCAACGTCTCTAACATACATACAGTATCCCTGCTGAGTTTAGATGGGATTTATGTATGCACTGTAAGTCAGTTGGACATTTCTTTCCTGAAACATTGTAATGTCAAGCTGTGTGGGCCTTGCCTTGCAAAGTCATTTTCATGGCTCGTGAGTCATGACAATAGACAGTAAATGTCTATATGAATGGTTGAATTGGTTAACTAACTAAAAGAAACAAACCTGCAGTGAAAGTCATACTTTTAGGATTATGCCCTCTGTACAGATTCAATGTCAATACCAGCAATACCCAGATAATGTGTTGGTAGTGGGTATAGTATTTTGCCCACGTCTGCACCATGCGGGTCCAACTATATACCAGTGTGAATTATTTCCATGTGTCTTATTATATGCTTGACTCAGGTGAGTGAGTGAGTGAGTGAGTGAGTGAGTGAATGAGTGAGTGAGTGAGTGAGTGCGTGAGTGAATGGCTGAACGGCCATATGACCTACATATGATGTACATGTTTTGGACTGTGGAGTGAGTCTGTACAGTAGATTAGTGCAGTGAAATATGGCCATAAGGTGTCCAGTCCGTCACTGTTCCCCTGGCCTTGACTCAGTGTGCTGGGGCTCCATCTCAGCAGTAAACTACTGTTCCATTACAGGAGTAACAGCCAGGCTTGAGGCATCGCTAGAACAGATTGGTCATCTTGTTAGCCCTTCTTCATGGGTTTATTTCAACAGTCATAATCTGCTCAATGTATTGGAGAAACAATGCCTGACTCAGGCCTGATTAATCGATTTCCGCTGCACATGAATTTGACATATTTTCCTTTTCAATCTACAGTATAATGATGTTTTGTTTGATTTGTTTGTGTTGTGTTCCTTCTCTGTAGGAGCTGCAAGGAATCCATTGTTTTGACAGTGGTTCAACCGTACCCAGTAAGTATCAATCATTCTGTCTTTAAAGGTTTCCATTGATAAAATTCAGAGCAAACTTTTTGGGAATAGAGTTCAATAGACTGTGTGTCTGTGACGCTGATTAGTTTGTTGACTCTGTGAATCCAAGACAATCTGAGACATTAAAAGGTGGCCATATGTCTGTGCTGGCGTCAAAACAGGGAGGTAACTGCTGAGTGTTCACCTGGCTAACTCACAGAGATTTCAGTCCAAACACTGAATAAGTGGTCCAATGGTAGCATCAAGTCCTCTCATGGTAGCATCAACCCCTAGCATGAGACCCCAGATGAAACTGAACCTGCCACTTCAACAGTTGTTAGCACCCGCAAGGACAATATGGGGATGGATACAACGCCACAATAACAGCTACTGTGAATGTCGGTGAAATAGGTCAATGAGATGGATTTGTGCCTTCACCACCAAATAGGCAATGACTTGAATATCAAATAATAGGAATATCACTATGTCTATTGTGCTGTAAGTTCGAACTCTGGCAGAAATCATACTGTGTTGTTACCTGGCTTTGGGAAGCAGATTTCAGACATCAACTCTAAAGAAAACAATAATGGTTTATATATGACAAAAGTAGCAATTACATCCAGAAAGACCTCACAGAACTTGTAAAACATATACAATTTAACATTTTCACACACAGCTCTGAAAATTATATAATTTGAGCATTAAGTTCTTCTAATTATATTTTCCTCTATGAAGACTGTCTCAAGGGAAAAAGCATGATGTTTTATTCCACTGGAAAGGGCCTCAATTTAAGAAGAAGCTCATCTTGAAAATGTCTTCTGTTTGCAGAAAAAAACAGAGAGAGAGAGCTCGAGAATCCCATAAGACGCATGCAGAACCAGCTCTTCTAATTCAACCTTTAATTGTTCTCATTTATCAGACATACAGTTGAAATCTGAAGTTTACATACACCTTAGCCAAATATATTTCAACTCAGTTTCACAATTCCTGACATTTAATCATAGTAAAACTTCCCTGTCTTAGGTCAGTTAGGATCACCACTTTATTTTAAGAATGTGAAATGTCAGAATAATAGTAGAGAGAATGATTTATTTCAGCTTTTATTTATTTCATCACATTCCCAGTGGGTCAGAAGTTTACATACACTCAATTAGTATTTGGTAGCATTGCCTTTAAATTTTTTAACTTGGGTCAAACGTTTCGGGTAGCCTTCCACAAGCTTCCCACAATAAGTTGGGTGAATTTTGGCCCATTCCTCCTGACAGAGCTGGTGTAACTGAGTCAGGTTTGTAGGCCTCCTTGCTCGCACATGCTTTTTCAGTTCTGCCCACAAATGTTCTATAGGATTGAGATCAGGGTTTTGTGATGGCCACTCCAATACCTTGACTTTGTTGTCCTTAAGCCATTTTGCCACAACTTTGGAAGTATGCTTGGGGTTATTGTCCATTTGGAAGACCCATTTGTGACCAAGCTTAACTTCCTGACTGATGTCTTGAGATGTGCTTCAAATTATCTACATAATTTTCCTTCCTCATGATGCCATCTATTTTGTGAAGTGCACCAGTCCCTCCTGCAGCAAAGCACCCCCACAGCATGATGCTGCCACCCCCGTTCTTCACGGCTGGGATGGTGTTCTTCGACTGGCAAGCTCCTCCTTTTCCTCCAAACATAACAATGGTCATTATGGCCAAACAGTTCTATTTTTGTTTCATCAGACCAGAGGACATTTCTCCAAAAAGTACGATCTTTGTCCCAATGTGCAGTTGCAAACCGTAGTTTGGCTTTTTTATGGCGGTTTTGGAGCAGTGCCTTCTTCCTTGCTGAGCGGCCTTTCAGGTTCTGTGGATATAGGACTCGTTTTACTGTGGATATAGATACTTTTGTACCTGTTTCCTCCAGCATCTTCACACGGTCCTTTACTGTTGTACTGGGATTGATTTGCACTTTTCGCACCAAAGTACGTTCATCTCTAGGAGACAGAACGTGTCTCCTTCCTGAGCGGTATGACGGCTGCGTGGTCCCATGGTGTTTATACTTGCGTACTATTGTTTGTACAGATTAACGTGGTACCTTCAGGCATTTGGAAATTGCTCCCAAGGATGTGGAGGTTTACAATTTTTTTCTGAGGTCTTGGCTGATTCATTTTGATTTTCCCATGATGTCAACCAAAGAGGCACTGAGTTTGAAAGTAGGCCTTGAAATACATCCACAGGTACACCTCCAATTGACTCAAATGATGTCAATTAGCCTATCAGAAGCTTCTAAAGCCATGACATCATTTTCTGGAATTTTCCAAGCTGTTTAAAGGCACAGTCAACTTAGTGTATGTAAACTTCTGACCCACTGGAATTGTGATACAGTGAATTATAAGTGAAATAATCTGTATGTAAATAATTGTTGGAAAAACTACTTGTTTCATGCACAAAGTAGATGTCCTAACCGACTTGCCAAAACTATAGTTTGTTAACAAGAAATGTGTGGAGTGGTTGAAAAAATACTTTTAATGATTCCAACCTAAGTGTATGTAAACTTCCGACTTCAACTGTAGCTGTGCTGTGGCTCAATGACACAGACACTAGTTGTGGCGTCCTTCCACTACACGCCCTTATAGCATCTCTAATCATATTACTGTATTACAATACGGGGAATGGAATGAAAAAACTAGTGTTATGTCCTTAGGATGAGATAGTGTAAATGGAACATTCCTCTTCACCCGCCACGGGGGAATGGCTGATTGGTTGTGGTTTCTCTGAAGGGGTGGACCTGTTGCCAACTGTGTTTTTTATTCAACCCCCCAGTCGCCCAAATCTGCGTTCATCAGTGCAGCCAAAAAGGCCAAGTTAAAGTCTAATCCAGTGAAAGTCCGCTTCGCTGAGGAGGTCATCATTAATGGACAGGTCCCAGTAAGTACTACAGTACTGTCCTACAACACTACATCACTCTCTGTCTCATATTATTGTATACCAATGTTTTTCAAAAGCTAAAATTATGCACCTATGATATTGACCTTGAATCTTCTAATATTGCTAAATATGTTGGACTGTTAAACTGTATTGGATGCCATTCGTGTTCTTCTTTCCATTACCATTACTTGCCATTACACATTGTTTTGTCATTATATAAAAAATATGTTTAGGTGCAGTGAAATGTGTTGTTTTGCAGGGTCAGCCATAGTAGTACGGCACCCCTGGAGCAAATTGGGGCTAAGTACCTTGCTCAAAGGCACATTGACAGATTTTTCATCTTATCAGCTTGGGTATTTGAACCGTCATTCTGTCGGTTACTGGTCCAACCCGTTAACCACTAGGCTACCTGCCGCTATCTAACCCCCCCCCCCCCCCCCCCCCCCCCCCCCCCCAAACACCTACTGTGAACATTTCACAGTGTAGCGTAGCCTACTGATCAATATGGAAAATATTGTAATTTTCCACATTTTCTTCTAATTTACAGGAATCTGTGAAGGACAACTCTCTGCTCTTCATGCCAAATGTTCTGAAGGTGTACCTGGAGAACGGACAGACCAAATCCTTCAAGTTTGACAGTAACACATCCATTAAGGTACAGCAGTACACCCTGCCCTTCACTAAGACATCTTAATGGGGACATTGGTTAATTAAAAATGATTTTTCAATTTAACCTTACATCACTCATAGGCCACTTATAGAAGAGTTAATTTATTTGATCACTGTAGCATACCATATTATCTTTACTTAATTATGATTCAGTAAGTGTCCAAATGTGCATTATACAAAGCACTCCCACAAAGGCAAGTCAGCTGTAACTTAATTTAAGTGTGATGCATGAAGAAGTAGGCCAGGACTTTTTTCTCATGGTGTTCATACACAAAACATCTCCGAAGTATACCGTTTTAATCTGTGTCATTTTATGTAATGCAGCTGACATTTAACGTCAATTTATGCACTGTATATTTGTGATTATGAATGTGAAACATCCTCCATTTTGAATAGGTTTTATTGAGAGAAAACTGATTTTCTAGGATATGCAGTATTCCATAATTAAATTCCATTTTTAGCTACACCTACAGTATCTGTAATGCAAATGGCGCCGGAGAAGATGGCTGCCGTTTTACAGCCCTCTAACCAATTGTACTATTATGTGTGTTTTTCCGCGTTATTTGTAATTTATTTTGTACATAATGTTTCTGCCATCGTCTCTTATAACCAAAAATAGCTTCTGGATATCAGGACAGCGATTACTCACCTCGTATTGGACTAATAATTTTTCTTCAACGAGGCGGCCGCGAAGGATATCCTACAGACATGGCCCAAATCCCCGTCATTCGCATGAGGAAGAGACGGAGATATCGTGGACGTAGGTCAGGGTGCCTTGTAAGGATCCGACGGCGAGCGAGTAAACTGCCGCTCCCATCAATCCTATTAGCCAATCTTCAATCATTGGAAAATAAATTGGATGACCTAAGATTACGGTTATCCTACCAACAGGACATTAAAAACTGTAATATCTTATGTTTCACCGAGTCGTGGCTGAACGACGACATGGATAACATACAGCTAGCGGGCTATACGCTACATCGGCAGGATAGAACGGCTGACTCCGGTAAGACAAGGGGTGGCTGTCTGTGTATATTTGTAAACAACAGCTGGTGCACAAAATCAAATACTAAGGAAGTCTCGAGGTTTTGCTCGCCTGAGGTAGAGTATCTTATGATAAGCTGTAGACCACACTATTTACCAAGAGAGTTTTCATCTATATTTTTCATTGCTGTCTATTTACCACCACAAACCTATGCTGGCATTAAGATTACACTGAATGAGCTGTATAAGGCCATAAGTCAACAGGAAAACGCTCATCCAGAGGCAGCGCTCCTAGTGGCCGGGGACTTTAATGCAGGGAAACTTAAATCCGTTCTGCCTAATTTCTACCAGCATGTTAAATGTGCAACCAGAGGAAAAAAAACTCTAGACCACCTTTACTCCACACACAGAGACGCATACCTCTCCCTCGCCCTCCATTTGGCAAATCTGACCATAACTCTATCCTCCTGATTCCTGCTTATAAGCAAAAACTAAAGCAGGAAGCACCAGTGACTCGGTTAATAAAAAAGTGGTCAGATGACGCAGATGCTAAGCTACAGGACTGTTTTGCTAGCACAGACTGGAACATGTTCCGGGATTCTTCAGATAGCATTGAGGAGTACACCACATCGGTCACTGGCTTCATCAATAAGTGCATCGATGATGTCGTCCCCACAGTGACCATACGTACATACCCCAACCAGAAGCCATGGATTACAGGAAACATCCGCACTGAGCTAAAGGGTAGAGCTGCCGCTTTCAAGGAGCGGGACTCTAACCCGGACGCTTATAAGAAATCCCGCTATGCCCTCCGACGAACCATCAAACAGGCAAAGAGTCAATACAGGACTAAGATTGAATCGTACTACACCGGCTCTGACGCTTGTCGGATGTGGCAGGGCTTGAAAACTATTACAGACTACAAAGGGAAGCACAGCCACGAGCTGCCCAGTGACACAAGCCTACCAGACGAGCTAAACCACTTCTATGCTCGCTTCGAGGCAAGCAACACTGAAGCATGCATGAGAGCACCAGCTGTTCCGGATGACTATGTGATCACGCTCTCCGTAGCCGATGTGAGTAAGACTTTCAAGCAGGTCAACATTCACAAGGCCGCAGGGCCAGACGGATTACCAGGACGTGTACTCCGAGCATGTGCTGACCAACTGGCAAGTGTCTTCACTGACATTTTCAACATGTCCCTGACTGAGTCTGTAATACCAACATGTTTCAAGCAGACCACCATAGTCCCCGTGCCCAAGGACTCTAAGATAACCTGCCTAAATGACTACCGACCCGTAGTAGGTAACAACACATCTGCCACACTGATCCTCAACACGGGGGCCCCTCAGGTAGTGCGTACGGCCCAGTACATCACTGGGGCCAAGCTTCCTGCCATCCAGGACCTCTATACCAGGCGGTGTCAGAGGAAGGCCCTCAAAATTGTCAAAGACTCCAGCCACCCTAGTCATAGACTGTTCTCTCTGCTACCGCACGGCAAGCGGTACCAGAGTGCCAAGTCTAGGTCCAAAAGACTTCTCAACAGCTTCTACCCCCAAGCCATAAGACTCCTGAACAGCTAATCATGGCTACCCGGACTATTTGCACTGCCCCCCCACTCCATCTTTTTACGCTGCTGCTACTCTGTTAATTATTTATGCATAGTCACTTTAACTCTACCCACATGTACATATTACTTCAACTACCTCAACTAGCCGGTGCCCCCGCACATTGACTCTGCACCGGTACCCCCCTGTATATATAGCCTCCCTACTGTTATTTTATTTTACTTCTGCTCTTTTTTCTCAACACTTCTTTGTTGTTGTTTTATTTTACTTTTTATAAAAAATAAATGCACTGTTGGTTAAGGGCTGTAAGTAAGCATTTCACTGTAATGTCTGCACCTGTTGTATTCGGCGCATGTGGCCAATAACATTTGATTTGATTTGATTTGAAATGAGTGCTTTACACAGCTTTTCTCCTCTCTTCTCTTCACACCTCACTCACTCACGTGGTGGTCCCATACGCTGTGCACGTTCCTGGCACATGTCGTATTAATAATGAATGTCTCTTCTGTCTGTGTGAAAGGATGTCATCTTGACCCTGCAAGAGAAGCTCTCCATTAAGAGTATTGAGCACTTCTCGCTGATGCTGGAGCACAGAAACGAGGGCTCGGCCAGCAAACTCATGCTCCTCCACGAGCAGGAGATGTTAACTCAGGTGAGACATCGTGGGGGTAACCACAGTGGGATGAGCAGCCTCACACCCTGATACAGTGGGGGAAAAAAGTATTTAGTCAGCCACCAATTGTGCAAGTTCTCCCACTTAAAAAGATGAGAGAGGCCTGTCATTTTCATCATAGGTACACGTCAACTATGACAGACAAATTGAGATTTTTTTTCTCCAGAAAATCACATTGTAGGATTTTTAATGAATTTATTTGCAAATTATGGTGGAAAATAAGTATTTGGTCAATAACAAAAGTTTCTCAATACTTTGTTATATACCCTTTGTTGGCAATGACACAGGTCAAACATTTTCTGTAAGTCTTCACAAGGTTTTCACTCACTGTTGCTGGTATTTTTGGCCCATTCCTCCATGCAGATCTCCTCTAGAGCAGTGATGTTTTGGGACTGTCGCTGGGCAACACGTTCTTTCAACTCCCTCCAAAGATTTTCTATGGGGTTGAGATCTGGAGACTGGCTAGGCCACTCCAGGACCTTGAAATGCTTCTTACGAAGCCACTCCTTCGTTGCCCGGGCGGTGTGTTTGGGATCATTGTCATGCTGAAAGACCCAGCCACGTTTCATCTTCAATGCCCTTGCTGATGAAAGGAGGTTTTCACTCAAAATCTCATGATACATGGCCCCATTCATTCTTTCCTTTACACGGATCAGTCGTCCTGGTCCCTTTGCAGAAAAACAGCCCCAAAGCATGATGTTTCCACCCCCATGCTTCACAGTAGGTATGGTGTTCTTTGGATGCAACTCAGCATTCTTTGTCCTCCAAACACGACGAGTTGAGTTTTTACCAAAAAGTTATATTTTGGTTTCATCTGACCATATGACATTCTCCCAATCCTCTTCTGGATCATCCAAATGCACTCTAGAAAACTTCAGACGGGCCTGGACATGTACTGGCTTAAGCAGGGGGACACGTCTGGCACTACAGGATTTGAGTCCCTGGCGGCGTAGTGTGTTACTGATGGTAGGCTTTGTTACTTTGGTCCCAGCTCTCTGCAGGTCATTCACTAGGTCCCCCCGTGTGGTTCTGGGATTTTTGCTCACCATTCTTGTGATCATTTTGACCCCACGGGGTGAGATCTTGCGTGGAGCCCCAGATCGAGGGAGATTATCAGTGGTCTTGTATGTCTTCCATTTCCTAATAATTGCTCCCACAGTTGATTTCTTCAAACCAAGCTGCTTACCTATTGCAGATTCAGTCTTCCCAGCCTGGTGCAGGTCTACAATTTTGTTTCTGGTGTCCTTTGACAGCTCTTTGGTCTTGGCCATAGTGGAGTTTGGAGTGTGACTGTTTGAGGTTGTGGACAGGTGTCTTTTATACTGATAACAAGTTCAAACAGGTGCCATTAATACAGGTAACGAGTGGAGGACAGAGGAGCCTCTTAAAGAAGAAGTTACAGGTCTGTGAGAGCCAGAAATCTTGCTTGTTTGTAGGTGACCAAATACTTATTTTCCACCATAATTTGCAAATAAATTCATTAAAAATCCTACAATGTGATTTTCTGGAGAAAAAAAATCTCAATTTGTCTGTCATAGTTGACGTGTACCTATGATGAAAATGACAGGCCTCTCTCATCTTTTTAAGTGGGAGAACTTGCACAATTGGTGGCTGACTAAATACTTTTTTTCCCCACTGTAGACGACAGATAGACAATCTTAGGCCCTCATTCAGTTATAGTTACAGTGTAATCAAATATGACCCACGTTTGTTCACAGCTAGTGTGACTTGGTTGGTGGTGGGCATGTGATTAAATTATTGTAAAAGGTGAACAGAATGACTGTAGAGTGACGGTGAGCACAATGCAGACCCTCCATCAGACAGACTGCAGATAGAAATTATCATGATGGGGCTGGAATATTGTTTTTCACCTTTTGCCCATTGTAAGTGTCTGATCAGACCCTACACCCAAACGAGGGCACTACGTTCATCCACCTCTGGCCTGCTAGCTCCCCTACCTCTACGGAAGCACAGTTCCCGCTCAGCCCAGTCAAAGCTATTCGCTGCTCTGGCACTCCAATGGTGGAACAAGCTCCCCCACGACGCCAGGACAGCGGAGTCACTGACCACCTTCCGGAGACACTTGAAACCCAACCTCTTTAAGGAATACCTGGAGTAGTATAAAGTAATCCTTCTTCCCCCACCCCCCATACCATTTTTTTTTTAAAGAAGGTGGTTGTCCCACTGGCTATCATAAGTTGAATGCACCAATTTGTAAGTCGTTCTGGATAAGAGTGTCTGCTAAATGATGTAAATGTAAAAATGTAAATGTAAATATTTTTATATACAAAAAAAGACGAATTCATACTGTACATAATATAAAAATCTGCTTATTTTTTAAATGTATTTTATGATGAATCATTCTGCGCTTACATCAGATTGTTGCAAATGTGAGTTATACATTTTTGTAACATTGATGTTGTTTCTGTACGCATACAAATGAGGATATATATTTTAAGAATATTTTGTAAATTTGTGCAAAGTTTTTTTTTCACAGTATCTTTTGGCTTTTTAATCCATTATTCATTATTCATGACATCTCATCACTAAATGTTAATTCCTTGTCCTTGCCTGTTGTCCTAGGTGACACAGAGACCAGGGGCACACAAGATGAAATGCTTCTTCCGCATCAGCTTTGTCCCAAAGGACCCCGTTGACCTGCTCAGGAGAGATGCAGTGGCTTTTGAATACCTCTATGTTCAGGTGATTCACAGCACATGGAAGACAACGCTGCATGATTAACAAATGATTATGTTGATTGTGTAATCAAAAGGTTTCTTTTTGTATGATATTCATTGATCAGTATTTGGTAAGATTTCATATAGAAACATTAACTCAAAAAAATGTAAATTATCTAGTGTTGACTTGGAGCCCAACACTAGGGGAGCCAAATGTAACTGCATTATGGTCAGTAACAATAGTCCAACCAGTTTAACCTTCTCTCCTCCTCTCTTCCTCTCCTCTCCTCCTCTCTTTGTTCAGAGCTGTAATGACGTGGTGCTGGAGCGATTTGGGTCAGAGCTGAAATACGACACGGCCCTGCGTCTGGCTGCCCTGCAGATGTACATCCTCACCATCAACACCAAGCAGTCACAGAAAGTCTCCCTCAAATACATTGAGTGAGTGGCTTGTGTTTTCTCTGTAGCTCAGTAAGTACAGTGGGGGAAAAAAAGTATTTAGTCAGCCACCAATTGTGCAAGTTCTCCCACTTAAAAAGATGAGAGAGGCCTGTAATTTTCATCATAGGTACACGTCAACTATGACAGACAAAATGAGATTTTTTTTCTCCAGAAAATCACATTGTAAGATTTTTAATGAATTTATTTGCAAATTATGGTGGAAAATAAGTATTTGGTCAATAACAAAAGTTTCTCAATACTTTGTTATATACCCTTTGTTGGCAATGACACAGGTCAAACATTTTCTGTAAGTCTTCACAAGGTTTTCACACACTGTTGCTGGTATTTTGGCCCATTCCTCCATGCAGATCTCCTCTAGATCAGTGATGTTTTGGGGCTGTCGCTGGGCAACACAGACTTTCAACTCCCTCCAAAGATTTTCTATGGGGTTGAGATCTGGAGACTGGCTAGGCCACTCCAGGACCTTGAAATGCTTTTTACGAAGCCACTCCTTCGTTGCCCGGGCGGTGTGTTTGGGATCATTGGCATGCTGAAAGACCCAGCCACGTTTCATCTTCAATGCCCTTGCTGATGGAAGGAGGTTTTCACTCAAAATCTCACAATACATGGCCCCTTTCATTCTTTCCTTTACACGGATCAGTCGTCCTGGTCCCTGTGCAGAAAAACAGCCCCAAAGCATGATGTTTCCACCCCCATGCTTCACAGTAGGTATGGTGTTCTTTGGATGCAACTCAGCATTCTTTGTCCTCCAAACACGACGAGTTGAGTTTTTACCAAAAAGTTATATTTTGGTTTCATCTGACCATATGACATTCTCCCAATCCTCTTCTGGATCATCCAAATGCACTCTAGCAAACTTCAGACGGGCCTGGACATGTACTGGCTTAAGCAGGGGGACACGTCTTGCACTGCAGGATTTGAGTCCCTGGCGGCGTAGTGTGTTACTGATGGTAGGCTTTGTTACTTTGGTCCCAGCTCTCTGCAGGTCATTCACTAGGTCCCCCCGTGTGGTTCTGGGATTTTTGCTCACCGTTCGATCATTTTGACCCCACGGGGTGAGATCTTGCGTGGAGCCCCAGATCGAGGGAGATTATCAGTGGTCTTGTATGTCTTCCATTTCCTAATAATTGCTCCCACAGTTGATTTCTTCAAACCAAGCTGCTTACCTATTGCAGATTCAGTCTTCCCAGCCTGGTGCAGGTCTACAATTTTGTTTCTGGTGTCCTTTGACAGCTCTTTGGTCTTGGCCATAGTGGAGTTTGGAGTGTGACTGTTTGAGGTTGTGGACAGGTGTCTTTTATACTGATAACAAGTTCAAACAGGTGCCATTAATACAGGTAACGAGTGGAGGACAGAGGAGCCTCTTAAAGAAGAAGTTACAGGTCTGTGAGAGCCAGAAATCTTGCTTGTTTGTAGGTGACCAAATACTTATTTTCCACCATAATTTGCAAATAAATTCATTAAAAATCCTACAATGTGATTTTCTGGATTTTTTTCCCTCAATTTGTCTGTCATAGTTGACGTGTACCTATGATGAAAATGACAGGCCTCTCTCATCTTTTTAAGTGGGAGAACTTGCACAATTGGTGGCTGACTAAATACTTTTTTCCCCACTGTAGAGCATGAATAGTAGGATCGATTCCCGGGTCCACCAATAGGCTACATAACACGTATGTGTACATGACTGTAAAAAGCGTCTGCTTAATGGCTTATAACATAACACTGCTGCACCTCCACCAAGTCAGTATGAACCAGGTCCAATGTCTAGTCTGGTCCCCTAAAGTTCACACATGGCCCTGCATCTTCTCACATGTTCAATCTGGCAACACATTGTTATGAGGGCTTTTGACGCCCTTACACCATCAGACTCTCAACACTTACTTGAGAATAATCTGAAAAGAACTCATCGCATCCACGTCGGATTAACTAATGACAGATACAGTAATGATTTCCCCCCTGATTGTTATGTCGTAAATACCACAGGTATTTCATATGGATATTGATTATAATCGATTAACAGTTGGTTAATCAATGGATCCTCTCTTTATAAAGTGATTGATGTTCGCTGAAGGAATGTATTCTGCTGTTCTATCATGTTGCACATGAAACCCGTGTTACCATGGTTTCTTGCTCTACAGGAAGGAGTGGGGTTTGGCACTGTTTCTCCCTCCTGCAGTACTGTCCAGCATGAAAGAGAAGAACATCAAGAAAGCCCTAACACACATTCTCAAAACCAACCAGAATCTGGTACCTCCTGGAAAAAAGGTGCTTTATTCTCCCTCCCTCTATCTCTCCTGTATCCTCTGTCCCCCCAGTAGCCTTAATTGCTCATGTTCTCTTTCAGCTGTCAGCATTACAGGCCAAGGTCCACTATCTGAAGTATCTCAGTGACCTGAGACTGTACGGAGGACGGGTTTTTAAATCTATACTGCTGGTAATTAACTACCTCTTCTTTTCTGAGCTCAAACTATTTGAATAACTACACACAAAATATCAGAATATCATATCTCATTAACGAGTTCATGGAGTCTGTGTATTGTGTTTAAATTGTTTCCCCTCTGCTCAATGCTCACAGCAAGGAGAGAAGCACACAGAGGTAACCCTACTTGTGGGTCCCAGGTATGGCATCAGTCATGTGATCAACACCAAGACTAACCTGGTGGCGCTGCTGGCAGACTTCAGCCACGTCAACCGCATCGAGATGTACACAGAGGATGAGAAGAACGTTAGGGTGGAGCTACATGTTCTGGATGTGAAGGTGAAATCAAACATATCTTCAAAATGGACTGAATGTGATATTAATGATCATGACGATCAATGCAATGAGTTGACATCTAACCTGATTTAAAAAGCAATAATAGCATTTTCAGCAAAACTATTATACAAGGAAATGAATGCTCAATGAGCACATTGTATTCATTTGTTTAATGTGTTCATTGTCGTCCTCTTATCTCTCTATTCTCCAGCCCATTACTCTGCTAATGGAGTCCACCGATGCGATGAATCTGGCCTGTCTGACTGCTGGATACTACAGACTACTGGTGGACTCTCGCCGTTCCATCTTCAACATGGCAAAAACAGGGAATGCAGACACTGGTGAGTCTACACTCTAAACAGTTCAGTTGTTCTCAAAAGCCAACATACTGTAAGTTGATACATTATCATCACTGATATTACAGAAACGTGATTATCAACCGCTGTTTGGTTCCTTCTCAGGCCTAGACTCCAGAGTAAAGCAGAACTATCAGGCCATAGAGTGGGCGTACAGCACCTCCTTTAGAGGGTGTGAGGAGCACCAGCACCACAACAACCAGCGCTGTACGTCCAGGGAGCCCTCCTCTAACAGAGACTCAGACTACATGGACCATGGGAGGAGTGAGAGTGACATCTCCCCCGTCTATATCACTGAAATCCAGCAACCGCCCCAGTACAGCATGCACATGGCAGAGAGGGTAGATACCAGAGGGGGGACCAGAGGCCCAACACACCCGCAGCCCTACCTCTGTGTCCCCAGGCCCAAAGCCCAGGACTCCCCCCGCAGTGCCAAGGTCTCCTTCATCTTCGGGGATCCACCATTAGACAGTGTGAACCCCCAGAACCTTGGCTACCAGAGGCTAATGGACGAAGTCCCAGAGGTTCTACACGACCACAGCCCCATGTATGAGCGACTAGAGGAGGACTACAAGAGCAGGGATCCCATGGGGATGGACGGGGAGGGCTATCCATACGCCGCCAAAATCTTCGGGAACACCGAGTGCATTGAGGAGCCGCTGCTGCACGACATCTGCTACGCCGACACCACGGATGCCGACGAGGACGAGGATGACATCAGCTGCGAGGAGGACATGGGGCTGATGGGGGATCTGGACAAGGCCACGTTCCTCTCGCTCTCGGGGTCTAGTGATGACATCATCGACCTGACCTCCCTGCCCCCGCCGCCAGAGGGTAAAGACGAGGAGGATAACGAGGATGTGTTGCTTCACTCCCTCAACCTGGCCATCGCAGCCCCGCCCCCAGGCTTCAGGGACAGCTCTGATGAGGACGAGCAGCACGGAGGGGCCCATGGGCTTGTCAGGAAGGGCCAGGGGACCCATGACGATATCCCTGTGTCCCTCATAGACTCAGTCCCCACACAGGGGGAGGAGGGCCCAGAGGGGGAGGGGGCCCTGGACGATGCTGTGGTGTCCACCTTACAGGCCCTGGAGGCCCTTGCGGCTTCAGAGGAGCAGAGCCCACACCCAGAGTCAGAAAATAGCACAGGTTCTTCTTCTTACACTATTGTAACGTTTATTCATTAACAACACGCAGATGTTCCAGCCATTAACTTTCAGATTTGTTGTTGTTGATTTTTCAATAAAAAACCATTTTGTTCTATGTTTCCATTTAGTGTGCGCATTGTTTCATTTATTTTGAACATAAAACATTTCCTGTGTCTCATTCATTTTGGTTCCAGAGATTTTTTGGTTGTTTTGTTGTTTTGTGGATCATCTTGTTTGTTTTATCATTTATGAACAGTGGCACAAATGCATTTCAACTCACAGCTTCCATACTTTTTGTACCAATGAATTGTGTGCTATTTTATAATATCTCTAAGGTGCCTCAGGTAATGTGTTAATAAAATGTCTGTCTCTCTGTGGCACACAGGTGTAGAAATATCACGGGCATTTAGCCCCGAGTCCTCATCGGACTCTGGCAACGAGACTAACTCCTCAGAGATGACGGAGAGTTCAGAGCTGGTCGCTGCCCAGAAACTCTCTGAAACCCATCTGAGACTGTATGTGGCCACCGCTGACGGCTACCACACTCTGACTGAGGAGAAAACAGAGTTTCCCATAACACCGTGTGAAGGAAAGGCAGCCCTGGCCATACAGCACAACCCTCAGGAGACCAGGGAGGGGGGGGAGGGGGAGGAGGGGGCCAAGTCCTCGGCTGTGTCCTCCACCCAGATCCTCCACTCAGACGGGGGAGAGATGGAGCCAGAGACCATGGAGACCAAGTCCCTTACCAACTACTTCAACAAACTGCACATGGGATCTGTGATGAGCAAGCAGCCAGGGAAGCAGAGTGACTCTGAGGGCAGGATTCAGCGAGATACCGATGAATCAACAGAAAAACGACACAGCTACATCCAGAACTCAAATAGAGGGGATCCACCCAAATATAATTCAGACCCACCCAAATATAATGTTATTCTAAGGGAATCTCCATACATGAACCAATTCGAATTGGGGCGAACACCCTATCCGTATCGAGAGAAGCCCCCAAGATATCACCGGCCTCCTGAAAACAAAATGGCGGACAATCTCTCCCTAGACTGTGTGAGTGATTCACAAGCCTCCCACTCTGACAGGGTAACAATTAAGAGAGACAAGCAGGACTCGGATGAGAGAAGCCAGCAGTTAGACGCTCATCCCCGCTCCCCCGCCAAAGACCCCCACAGTACAGAGGAAGCTAATTTACCCAGCAGCGACCCACAGCAGCAGCAGACGAGGGTCCCCTCGGCCGAGCAGGACGTCACACGGTTACACGAGTATCACCTGAGTAAGCGCATGTCATTGTTACAGGGCAGCGAGGGCATCCACACCCTCCAGAGCTCCCAATGCTCCTCCATAGACGCTGGCTGCAGTACAGGAAGCAGTAGCTGTGTCACTCCCATGGACTCTCCCCTCTGCACTGGAGAAAACATGCATCTACTCTCAGAATCTTCCCTCAAGGGGCTGGGCTATATTAGTGGGGAGGAGAAGGCCTATGGCACCCAAGGCCAGGGGACACAGCAGGGCAAGGCTAGACATCAGACCATAGACCCCACCCTGCTGAGGAAGATTCATGCAGCCACCAGTGCCGAGCCAGGGTTTGGTACCATACGAGGAGATGGCTGCCACCGGATGCCCAAGATAAAAGAAACCACAGGTACAACTAAATAGAGCAGTCTTTTCCTTTGATGTCTGTATGCTTAAATGGTAAACACAATTCCAGGAGCATAGTGAGGCTGTTGATAAATTATTCACTAGCTGGGGATTAGGATATGCATCATGTTGACAGAGTAGTATTATCCATTCAGACAGAAAGACAATAACAAGCATGTCACTAGCTAAGGACATGCATACAGTGCATACATGTGTAGAGGATGTGATTGGTATAAGAAATATTGCTGTGTAATGGTTAATTATGTAACACTTGCTGCATGAAGATTTGATAAAAGTGCACACTTATTCTATTTTACCTCACTCTCTATTGTGAAAGGACAATTAGAGCAACGTTTTACTAAAAAGTCCTCTAATGAAAACAGGAAAGTGTTAGATATAAAAGCAACAGACCATGTTGTCAGGGAGATGCTTAACGATTCTATTTGTTTTTCTGCTCCCCCTAGTGTAGCTTGCACCCAGCTCGAGATGGCTGCAGGGGAAGACTCCTCCTCTGCTCTCTCCAACGAGGTCAACGCCACCGCCACCACCACCTCACCACCATCATTAACCAGTAGCAGCAGCACAGAGTCCAGTGTGCCCAGTGCAACAAAGCAGCAGGGGTGCCACTGCACTGAGCCCATCCCACGCCGCGCCCAGGCTTTTCCTTCAAGCTTACATCCATGCGACCCTATCACAGGCAGCCTCAGGAAGCCACCGCAGCGAAGGGGTCGGATGCTGAGGAGGAGCTGGAGCAGCATCACGCCGGGCTCCGGGAGCCTCGAAGCGCTTCTCGAGAAAACCAAAGCCACGCTGAGTGGGAGGAGTGCCCAGAGAGTCCAGTCACCCGATGACCCCTCCAAGCCACAGAGGAGATTTGCTTTTTCCAAGACACTTTCCAAAAGCTTGTCTTTGTCCCAGGGATCAGTATGGTCTGTTAGATCAGTTAGCTCTCAGTCTTCTGGCAGGAGGCTTTTCAGAGGCACCTCTATCATGCTGCCAGCGTCATGGGATGCCAAGCAGCTCCGAGCATTGCCACTACCCAGACTGGACAGCAGCACCTGGAGGAGGTGCCACGGGCCCTTCACACACTGCTTCCCCAAGTGGAAGACCAACACTGATGATGACGATGAAGTTGGAGGTGGAGCTGGAGAAAACCCCACCTCCCAGCCGTTTTCTGAGGGTCAGAAGGCACAGTCACTCCCTACCAGCCCCAGTGTTGAGGCAGAGAACACAATCTTTCTGTACCTCTCTGGAACTGAACCCTCCGCTGTGGCTGAACAGCTCAACATGGCCAGTGGTGTGACTATGAGTGGCATGAGTCTGGGAGCGAAGCTGAGCCGTGTGAACTCACTGAAGGGGAAGACCTACACCCTCCCTCAGGGGTTCTCAGATGCACAGAGAGATTCCCTGGATATGATGGGCCTGGTGCGCTCCGGTGTAGGCCAGGGAGGGGGCCAGAGGTCAGAGGTCAATGAGTCCAACCTGTGGAGGTTCAGTCAGCTGCTCTCCATGGAGGCCCTAGAGCTGGGCAGCGCCTGCAGTCACATGGCCCTGGTGCAAGGCAGCCCCCAGGAAACCCTGCTCACCCTGACTCACAGTTTCCACACGGTATGCTGCTTAACACAGGCATGCATGTCACTGGTGGAGGGCTTGAGCCCTGAGAGCCGGCAGCGCGAGGTGGTGGCCAAGGTGGACGAGGTCGTCATGAACTATGTGTGTCTGCTCCAGGCTGCTGAAACAGCTTCAGGCAGTTCCCCCGATGACCAAAGTGTGAATGCATTGACACGTCACTCCACCATCATGTGTGCTATCGTCAACAGACTGAGTCGCTCACTCACAACACTCTACAAGTAAACATAACAACACGGTTGTCTTTCTGATTAGTGATTTCAAAGCCATACATAAGAGACATGGGTTTATTCGACCCAGACCAATGTGAACCGCTGTGACAAACCTTGCCTTGTGTATATTTTGATTGATATGTAAAGTCAAAAAAATTATATTAATCATGATGACACTTTTAAAAGTGATTATATTCAGGCCTCTGAGAAGAAGAATATATAAGGGTATATAAACTGATATTACTTGATAAGTTAACTTTTACAAATTGATAATCACCTTTTGGGGCGTAATGTGTAGATGAACCACTATTAGGTCTGTATTTTATTTGTATGAATTATTATGATACATTATGAACATGATACATATTATATGACAAAGAGCTCTAGACAAATCAACGCGCAAGACAAGAAATTATATTATATGATACAGTCCATTATGACCTCAATCTTTTTCATTTGCTGAATCCAACATAGTTTATGAATCTTTGCACATGTTCACTGAGTACTTTCCTGTTATTTTTGTCAGCACTCCCATAACATATTTAAAGTAAAAAATGTTGCAACCTGAAGTTGATTATTGTCTCCTTTATTATCCTCAAAACGATTGTTATACAAAGTAAAGGTCCATTTCAATTTAAATTATCAATTAAAAAACATTATTGTTCTCTAAAGCCAAGTCATTTTCTGCTTACAGTGAGCGGGGCTTTCTCTAAAACCTATTTGTCACTAAAATTGTATAATTTATACCAAAAACTCTCCTGGATCATGTTTGGTTGTATTAAATAGTGTTTGATTATTTAATGTTTTACCATTTACTCAGTCCAGGGTGATGATCATGCATTTTGCACTAATCATGATGGGCTGTCTAAGTTTGAAGGCCGGAGAGTGTGTCTGCATGATGTATATTCTGATAGTCTGCGGAGTAACCTTCCTTGAAGGCACAGACTGTACTGTTTATCGTCACAGTTACTAGCTAATGTCCCTGCTGTTTCTCTGAACCGAGGTTTCACTTTTATTTAAAGAAAAGCAGAGGCGTGTATTCATGGAGCCAAGGAAAGCCAGGCTTCCCCCAACATTTTTGCAAGAAAAAAAATTAACAAAATATATTTTCTTTCAGCTTTCTGTGTTTCATAAATGTCCTTCAATTCGCAAGAGGCTGAATGTATCTCACCGGAAAAAGCATCAGAGCGAACGAAACAGCGCCCCTCTATCTCAGTATGTGTAGCCCATCTATCTGATGCTGTTTGGTCAAATAGAGTATGTCATTGTTGCCGCCCGAAGCATTGAACGCAAGGGAAGCCAGCGAGCATTTGGCCTCCCTTGATAATATTAATAAATAATAATAGCCAAACAGCATTGAGCTAAACTGAGTGAGCTCAACTGTGAATGGTCCTGGCGCACCCAAAAAAAAGTGTCAAGGGAAGCTAGTTTGGATATGGCTACACATTGACAGAAAAATTGTTGCATCTTGTTGTGTGGTTTTACTTCATTCTCCATACTGGGCAATGATTATAACAGCGATTCTGATCCAACCATAAATACATACAGTGGGGAGAACAAGTATTTGATACACTGCCGATTTTGCAGGTTTTCCTACTTACAAAGCATGTAGAGGTCTGTAATTTTTATCATAGGTACACTTCAACTGTGAGAGACGGAATCTAAAACAAAAATCCAGAAAATCACATTGTATGATTTGTAAGTAATTAATTTGCATTTTATTGCATGACATAAGTATATGATCACTTACCAACCAGTAAGAATTCCGGCTCTCACAGACCTGTTAGTTTTTCTTTAAGAAGCCCTCCTGTTCTCCACTCATTACCTGTATTAACTGCACCTGTTTGAACTCGTTACCTGTATAAAAGACACCTGTCCACACACTCAATCAAACATACTCCAACCTCTCCACAATGGCCAAGACCAGAGAGCTGTGTAAGGACATCAGGGATAAAATTGTAGACCTGCACAAGGCTGGGATGGTCTACAGGACAATAGGCAAGCAGCTTGGTGAGAAGGCAACAACTGTTGGCACAATTATTAGAAAATGGAAGAAGTTCAAGATGACGGTCAATCACCCTCGGTCTGGGGCTCCATGCAAGATCTCACCTCGTGGGGCATCAATGATCATGAGGAAGGTGAGGGATCAGCCCAGAACTACACAGCAGGACCTGGTCAATGACCTGAAGAGAGCTGGGACCACAGTCTCAAAGAAAACCATTAGTAACACACTACGCCGTCATGGATTCAAATCCTGCAGCGCACGCAAGGTCCCCCTGCTCAAGCCAGCGCATGTCCAGGCCCGTCTGAAGTTTGCCAATGACCATCTGGATGATCCAGAGGAGGAATGGGAGAAGGTCATGTGGTCTGATGAGACAAAAATAGAGCTTTTTGGTCTAAACTCCACTCGCCGTGTTTGGAGGAAGAAGAAGGATGAGTACAACCCCAAGAACACCATCCCAACCATGAAGCATGGAGGTGGAAACATCATTCTTTGGGGATGCTTTTCTGCAAAGGGGACAGGACGACTGCACCGTATTGAGGGGAGGATGGATGGGGCCATGTATCGCGAGATAAGAGCATTGAAGATGGGTCGTGGCTGGGTCTTCCAGCATGACAACGACCCGAAACACACAGCCAGGGCAACTAAAGAGTGGCTCCGTAAGAAGCATCTCAAGGTCCTGGAGTGGCCTAGCCAGTCTCCAGACCTGAACCCAATAGAACATCTTTGGAGGGAGCTGAAAGTCCGTATTGCCCAGCGACAGCCCCGAAACCTGAAGGATCTGGAGAAGGTCTGTATGGAGTGGGCCAAAATCCCTGCTGCAGTGTGTGCAAACCTGGTCAAGACCTACAGGAAATGTATGATCTCTGTAATTGCAAACAAAGGTTTCTGTACCAAATATTAAGTTCTGCTTTTCTGATGTATCAAATACTTATGTCATGCAAGAAAATGCAATTTAATTACTTAAAAATCATACAATGTGATTTTCTGGATTTTTGTTTTAGATTCCGTCTCTCACAGTTGAAGTGTACATATGATAAAAATTACAGACCTCTACATGCTTTGTAAGTAGGAAAACATGCAAAATCGGCAGTGTATCAAATACTTGTTCTCCCCACTGTACCTAGTGCTCCTGGCCTGAGAGGATGGAAGTTCAACATGTAGCTAGATGTAGTAGGCTAATGTTAACTAGCTGGCCTGGCTTATCGTTGCCCATGAAAGGAAATTAGGCTAGCGAGCAATCATTTTACTGTTAGCCAGGTAGCCTAGGACAACAAAAACTAAAAGTGTGTACTGTACGACAGTCATAGACCATTTAGGCAACATGAAAGAGGAGGATGGCATTGGCGTTTCTCTACAAGTAGGGTGAGTCAACATGTTTTTTCTACTTGCACGCATGCAAGAACACACACACACACACAGACACACACATAGAAATCAGTATCATGGACAGCCACATATTTAGCTTACGTTGATGGGACTAAATCATTTTGTTTGTACCTTTTAGTTGTTACTGTATTAGACTAAGCATGGGTGATTAGATGATGTTGAAATGTTGATGTTGAAATGGTGCTGGAATAGTGGAGGCAATGCCTGTTTTCTTTGCGACTTGTGGTAACTCTCTGTTGTTCTAAATTAATAGTTGTTTAGTAGTCTGAAAATGTCAGAAACATTAACTTGCTTGACCATGCTGTAGGTCATGTAACTGTTTGTTACATGCTATATGTTTTGTGGACTTCGCCGGACAGATGTTGCTCCGGTTTTGTGATGGAACAAAGGTGTGGTTGAATTTATTGTGCCACTGTGTCTTCTTATTGTCTCGGCCTTATTATCACAAAACATAGGTTGTAATATGCCTTATATTTCATGGCTTGGCTTCACCGGTGATTTTACCCACACACCGCTACTGCAAAGTTGTACCTAATACTGTGTTAAGACATGGGAGAAATCTGTCTCCTCATGTCTCCAGTAAACACAAGTTTCCTCCTTGTTTATTTATGCTATTATAATTAAGATGAACTGTATCCATACTTTTTCAATAAATGTTGCAAAGAAAGGATGAGCAAATGCTGAAGAAAAGCTGCATTCACCCACAATTTAATTAGTATTGCTGCAAACTGCATAATTGTAAAACAATTCAGTGCACTGTAAAATGAAGCTGTACAGTATTAGATTTGATAAACCAAGAAAGCCTACATACTTAAAATGCTGCATATACATGATTTAATTAAACCTGCACCACAATAGATAACAACATTGATTTAAGGAATATCAATAAGAAATATATATTTTGGGAACTTGACCTTACGCAACAGTTGTATGCCTATTGATAGGTCTCTGGCATCTGACAAATGGGAAGTGAAGACACTTGCACATCTGTTGTTCTCACTGTCATCATCATATTTCACATCTCACATTCTTAGTTTTCCCTTCATATTATGGTAAGAACAGAACTCAAACGTGAGTGTAATGTATCTCACATCATGGTAAGAATAACTTTCATATGATAATACATTTCATGAATATAAAGTACTTGAGTACGCACATCTATTGTGTTTCTGGTGCATGGTGAGAAACAAAAGATTGATTAAAAAAATGAATAAACTGGTGATGTCCTCAAACATTAATACAAAGTTCACAATAGGGGTTAAAGGAAATATTTAAACATAGATCTGTTTGTTTTATGTCTATGTAGAACAACATAGGAAAGGTCAATAGATGTTTTTTTAATCCCCTCACAGCCTTTTAATATGGTAACCAACATCTACAATAGCTTTGTTGAGCTGTGCCACTGCCATGTACAATTGATTTGAATCCCAGCAAACAGAAGTGATTGGTTTCTATACTTTTATATTTTATCAGCAGTGAATTTTAATCTGAGACTTGTTGTGTCCTGTGGTTTAAGAGGCATGATGCAAATAAACTCATTATCATTACCCCTCTAGTAATGACACTGTCCTATTCCCGCTGTCAGAAGACAGAGTGTATATCCCTCCAGGTGTGTGTGGTGATGCTGCTGGGCCTATTGGGCTTCTTCGTGCTTGCAGCTGGAGGCTGGTACCCCAAAACCCTGCCATGTGACTTCACCCTGGACCCCGTGGTCAACGTGGACTGCACTGAGAGAGCTCCTGGAGATCCCAAAGGACATTCCCAGAAACACCACCAACCTAACCCTCACCATCAACCACATCCCTTACATCAACTCCACTTCCTTCCAGGGCCTGGAGAACATCAAGGAGATTGAGATGTGCTGCAACTTTGTGCCTATCAAGATCGGCCCCAAGGACCACATGTGCACGGAGAATGTGACCATCAAGAACAACTCCTTCAAAGACCTGAGGAATCTGAAGGCTCTGTATCTAGATGGGAATCAGGTCTCCAGCATCCCAAAGTGTCTCCCTCTGAACCTCATTCTGCTCAGTCTAGAGGTGAATCCAATATATATCATTCTGAAAAAAGAACCTCTCTGACATCACTAATGTACAGATTCTTTATTTGGGTCAAAATTGTTACTATCGTAACTCATGTAATGTTTCCTATCAAATTAAGGAGGGTGCATTTCTACAGCTTGGTAACATGACTCTGCTATCCCTCAAGTCAAATAACCTATCCTACATTCCCCAAAAATTACCAACAAGTCTCAGAGAGTTGCATCTCTATAACAACAAGATTTTCATAACTTAACCCAATTGGAGATTGTTGACCTAATCAGAAACTGCCCACGCTTTTACAATGCGCCATTTCCTTATGTTCCATGCCCTCACGATTCACAACTTCAGATGAATGAAAATGCATTTAAAACGTTGACCAAACTGAGGATACTACGTCTGCAGTAGTAACTCCCTCACCTATGTACTTATGGAGTGGTTTCAGAACTGTACAGAGCTGCAAGTACTCAACAACTTTTTAGCTAGATAGATAGTAAATGCTAACTTCCCACGAGCTCTAACCATCCTCAAATAATTGGTCCTGTCTTTTAACTTCGAGCTGCAGAGGTACCCAGCTACTAGTCTGAACCTGAATCATCATTCTCTTTCCTGAAATCCCTGAAAGTACTCCACCTCAGCGACTTTGTCTTTCAACAACTGACCCATGAAGACATCAGACCACTGATTCCTCTAAAGAACCTCGAGGTCATTGACCTGGGCACCAACTTCATCAAAATGACCAACCTCAGCATTCTAATGGAGCTCAAAAGCTTCCAAATGATCAATTTTATCTGACAATAAAATAACATCCCCTTTTTAAAGTGGTAATTCTGTTGACTTTTCTGGAGGAGAAGCCTTAAATGGCTCCCCAATGTCGGGTGCTGAGCACTACCACAATGGAGAAGTGATAGAGATTCATTATTTTAGATATGATGAGTACGCATGCAGCTACAAATACAAGGACAAGGAGACCGGGACACTGAATTCATTTGTTAATGCCCAGTGCAGCCAGTTTGGAAAAACACTGGACATCAGCAAGAATAACATATTCTTCCTTCACTCCAGATTCTTGAACCTTGCTAACGTTAGATGCCTAAATCTGTCTGGAAATGCGATGAGCCGAAGTCTAAATGGTTCTGAGTTCACTTATCTCACTAACTTAAAGTATCTTGACTTCTCATCTAACCGTCTGGACCATCTCTATTCCTCAGCATTTCAGGAACTAAGTGTAAGGACAGACGCTGGGAGACAGGAAGCAAGTACAGGGTGAGGATTTAATAATAAATAGACATGAAACAAAGCAAGAACAGCGTCTGGACGAGAAAAACAAAACAACTTCAATGCAGACACCGGGATAAAACTGAGGAACAGACAAGATATAGGGGAGGTAATTAAGCAGTGATGAAGTCCAGGTGAGTCCAATGAAGCACTGATGCGCGTAACGATGGTGACAGGTGTGCGTAATGATGGGTAGCCTGGCGCCCTCAAGCGCCAGGGAAGGGGAGCGGGAGCAGGCGTGACACTGAGAAGTTTAGTTATGTTAGACATAAGCCACAACAACCATTACTTTGAATCTGAGGGTTTGACCCATATGCTGAATTTCACCAACAATTTGACCAATCTGAAGATTTTACTCATGAACTATAATAATATTTCCACCTCCACCAACACAGAGCTGGAAAGCCCTTCTCTGGAAAGGTTAGAGTTCGAAGGTAACCGTTTAGATATGCTGTGGAGGGATGGCGATACGATATACAGTACATCAACTACTTCCGGAAACTGGTTAATCTGAGGGTCCTAGACATCTCTCACAACAACCTCAACTTCCCTCATCAGCAAGTCTTCAGAGGCCTGCCAGACAAACCTACTGAGCTCTACATCAACAACAACATACTGTAGGTTTTTAGTTGGGAGAAGCTGATCATACTTCAGTCCTAACAGGTCTTAGATCTCAGTGGTAATAGACTATCATCAGTTCCTCCAGAGCTCTCCAACTGCAAGCACAACTACCTGTCCATCATCCTCTACATCCTCCTCACATCCCTGGTGCTCAGCTCTGTCACCCTCTCCATCTCCATCCACCTCTTCCTCTGGGACGTATGGTACCTCTACCATTTCCTCCTGGCCAAGATCAAAGGCTACAGATGCCTGTCCTCGCCGAGTGTTGCCTACGACGTCTTCGTGGTGTACGACAAGAAGGACCCAGAGGTGTCTGAGTGGGTACTGAAGGAGCTGCTTGTTCAGCTGGAAGACCGCGGGGACCAGTGGTGATTTTAGTATGTAAATCTTGGTGGGGCAAACTAAAATAAAATGCATGCCAGCAAAGCCACTACACAACACAACACAACACTAAACAATACATTAATTGGACTATAAAGGTGACAAACGGTGCCCACAAACTGTTAGGGCCTACATAAAGCTGTCCCAACAGCGGAATCCCAAGGGCAGTCCCAACACCTTACCACTGTTACGCTGGCTATCAGAAGAGCCTTGTCTGGCAGTGAAACAGTTCATTCAGCCTCATTTACTGCCTTTTAAAAAAACATAGCTGATATGACTGACTTGTGGTTTCTACTGACAATTGAGATGTACAAACTATGGCATAAGGGGACGACGAGCGGATAAGAGGCAATCCGTAATTTCGATTAAGGGCCATTCTTACAGTATTCTCCCTGGCTACATGTGCACCACCAAATCAGAACAGTAGGCGAAATTATGAGGGGAAAAGGGACCAAATTATTAGGGTGAGGCACATGGGCTACTAACAGCTTACTACACAACATGCACTTAGTATTACTTTCTTAGCTACAGTATACATATCTCCCTGGCATATTACATAATTTATGCAGCAGAATACAATAAATTTTTGGACTCACCTTGTTGTGCTGTGCTCACTTGAACAGGAAGGTGGCGCGGGGTCCTTCGTGGGCAAATTTTGTAATCAAACTTTGTCATCAAAGTCTGGCATTCTCTGGATTTATGGTGCTTTCAAGACAACTGAGAACTCTGAAAAAAAGAAGGTTGAATCATGAAATTAGTGATCTTCAGGTCGGAGCTCTAGAAAGAGGCCAGAGTTCCCGACTTGGAATCCTCAGTTGGATAACCGTTCAAAACATATTTTCCCAGTTGGAGCTCGTTTTTTTTCAGAGTTCCCAGTTGTCTTGAACTCACTAATGTCTGAGATTTCCCAGTTTCGAATTTTGAAAGCGGCAGAAGTCATGCTGGATTGACAGCATGGCCAATGTTGAATGTTTATCCTTTTAAACTTGGAAAAGAGACCCTTAAACCCAGACATGGACTACACATCCACTCCACTGAATAACAGGCAGTTAGCCACTGATTCCTTCCAAACCAATCATTGCTGAATTTGCGATTTCCAACTTGTTGTGTAATGTTTATGTCCAATGGCCGATGAGCACCGATACATTTTATCTATAATTTCTCTTCATAATTTCTCTACATATGACAAGGATTGAAACGGATTTGCCAGTAGATTGTCGACTTGATTCAGGATGATGACTGCTAGCTTGCTAGCTAAGATTTTGAAAGTATGATGTTGACATTATCAGTCAAATCAAAGCTACTGTAGATATAACGTGATTTGACGTCATTTTATCTATGGCCAATGACCTTGAGCCTTCTTGGATGGGCACTTCTAATGTAACTCTATGGCAGCACCCAAGGGGCTTCAATTTTCGAGCTCTCCCCGTAGATTTTGTGGTGATGTAGTGTCCCCATGAGTGACAGAACACTGAGCCAATCACGGCGCAACTAGAGAACATTACCAACCCCTACGCTCCGTTTTTTCCGCTGGCTGCCCCACCACCACAGAAAGCACTGAGCTAGGTTGAAACACCTGCATTTTGGAGCTGCCTCCTCAAGAAAGCAAAAAAAGAGAACAAGTTTGTATGTAGCTTTATTTATTTATTTATTTTATTGTTTTACATTGATTGCAAACTGATATGTGACACGTATTAATGCTAAAATAACATGCTAAACAGGTGGGACCATACCTTACAGCTGTGTCTGGAGGAACGAGACTGGATTCCTGGCAGCCCCCTGATCGACAACCTCTCCCAGAGCATCCACCAGAGCAAGAGGACCGTGTTCATACTGACCAACAAGTACATCAGGAGTGGGGAGCTCAAGACTGCGTTCTACGTGGCCCATCATAGGCTTATGGATGAGAGAGATGATGTGATTGTCTTGATTTTCCTGGAAAAGGCCCCCAGTCACTCAAAGTAACTGAAACTCAGGAAAAGGTTGTATAGTCGATCAGTGATGGAGTGGCACAGCAATACTTTTGGTTTAGCCTAAGGAGTGTACTGGCAACGGACAGTGAGAAACAATACAGTAATCTATTCAAGGAGACTCTTTGAAAAGGGAAAACATACAGTGATGTTGCACTGTTAAGAATCAATAGCATAGTCATTTTATGTGATTGTGTAAGCTAATGATTGTGTAAATGCTTTGATTGAAGGACAGTTCTGATGTACACATTAAATGTAATTGTGTTTAATGACAATATATGGATAAGAACTTGGTACAACTTTAATACTGACTGATTATGTTTACTCTATTTACATATTTTGACATATAATGTCTCAAGTAGTGTTACCAGATTAACAAATTAATAAAATAATAATAATTCACAAAAAAGTAAAACAGTATTCAAATAAATGCCTTCAGAAAGAGGGAAGCAAATCAGGTGAGAACTTATAATAACCCAAATAATATGTGCCACTGCACCCAGAGTCAACCTGTTTGAGGGAACCAAACAACTTGCTGAACACATTTGGCTCACTGTAGCAGCAAGAGGAATTTGAGTTGCACTTCACTTGTGATTGAGTAGAGAAGAGTTGAGTCATTACATACGGGAACAAAGCGATGCATAAAAACACCCTGACAGACAGCTATTTGCAGTTTCATTAAACTTCCTTTTTTTGCTTACTTCAAACTAAATCTGGACAACAACAAGGCACTACTTATTTGATAGGCTTTCCAAATCTCACAAGGGATCAACAGTAAATAATATGGTAAGTTTGATTAATTTCAGTTATTAGTATTGAAGATGGTCACCAAGACTTTGTAGGATGTGCTTTTCTCAAGTGGCAAAATGTATAATGAATCATGTGACAAAATTACAATTTATAGGGGAAGTAGAATTCAGTCTAACATCCATTATACTGAATTGTTACATTCACAAATGCTTCTTCTAGGCAAACATATAGTGGATAACTACTATCCTGAAATTAGTACACAAAGCTATTTGGGCATTGCATTTTGGAGAAAAACTATGTGGGTGGATACATCTTCCCATTCTAAATCAACTACTATGGGAGCTTAATGACTTTAATTGGTACTATTATGATAGCATTGTGCCACCAGTAGGCGTAGTAACACCAATTAGCAATTTTTGGTAAATTAGGATTTTCTGAAATGAAGGCCACAAATGCTCAAATCTAAGGTCATCAAACCTTTAAAACATTATTTACTAAAGTGATATGATTATCTAATTTTGCTCACAATGTTATTTGCCTTAATTTAAATTGACTAACACCAACTGACACTTTGGATTTATTAATTTGGCAAAAAGGCACATGTTTATATGGCCTTAAATCTGCAGATTTAATCTGCAGCCATTTCCAAAGCCTCCAACAGTGTCTCCCACTACCGCAAGTCAACATTTGCACAAGATCTCCTTGAAGGGGAGAATCATCTGCAACCAGCCACTGTCACAAGATGGAACTCTCAACTGAAAATGATTAGCTCATTTTTCAATGGGGATGAAGAACAGCTTGACACAATGCCTGTCACCAAGCTTTCCATGCACAATAAGTATGTCCGCACTGATGCTGTGGATATTCTAACCCCGTTTGAGGTTGCCACAGATTGCGTGCAAGGATCATCGTCACACACAGCTACAGTGGGGAAAAAAAGCATTTAGTCAGCCACCAATTGTGCAAGTTCTCCCACTTAAAAAGATGAGAGAGGCCTGTAATTTTCATCATAGGTACACGTCAACTATGACAGACAAAATGAGGGGAAAAAAATCCAGAAAATCACATTGGACGATTTATTATGAATTTATTTGCTAATTATGGTGGAAAATATGTATTTGGTCAATAACAAAAGTTTCTCAATACTTTGTTATATACCCTTTGTTGGCAATGACACAGGTCAAACGTTTTCTGTAAGTCTTCACAAGGTTTTCACACACTGTTGCTGGTATTTTGGCCCATTCCTCCATGCAGATCTCCTCTAGAGCAGTGATGTTTTGGGGCTGTCGCTGGGCATCACAGACTTTCAACTCCCTCCAAAGATTTTCTATGGGGTTGAGATCTGGAGACTGGCTAGGCCACTCCAGGACCTTGAAATGCTTCTTATGAAGCCACTCCTTCGTTGCCCGGGCGGTGTGTTTGGGATCATTGTCATGCTGAAAGACCCAGCCACATTTCATCTTCAATGCCCTTGCTGATGGAAGGAGGTTTTCACTCAAAATCTCACGATACATGGCCCCATTCATTCTTTCCTTTACACGGATCAGTCGTCCTGGTCCCTTTGCAGAAAAACAGCCCCAAAGCATGATGTTTCCACCCCCTTGCTTCACAGTAGGTATGGTGTTCTTTGGATGCAACTCAGCATTCTTTGTCCTCCAAACATGACGAGTTGAGTTTTTACCAAAAAGTTATATTTTGGTTTCATCTGACCATATGACATTCTCCCAATCCTCTTCTGGATCATCCAAATGCACTCTAGCAAACTTCAGACGGGCCTGGACATGTACTGGCTTAAGCAGGGGGACACGTCTGGCACTGCAGGATTTGAGTCCCTGGCGGCGTAGTGTGTTACTGATGGTAGGCTTTGTTACTTTGGTCCCAGCTCTCTGCAGGTCATTCACTAGGTCCCCCCGTGTGGTTCTGGGATTTTTGCTCACCGTTCTTGTGATAATTTTGACCCCACGGGGTGAGATCTTGCGTGGAGCCCCAGATCGAGGGAGATTATCAGTGGTCTTGTATGTCTTCCATTTCCTAATAATTGCTCCCACAGTTTTCTTCAAACCAAGCTGCTTACCTATTGCAGATTCAGTCTTCCCAGCCTGGTGCAGGTCTACAATTTTGTTTCTGGTGTCCTTTGACAGCTCTTTGGTCTTGGCCATAGTGGAGTTTGGAGTGTGACTGTTTGAGGTTGTGGACAGGTGTCTTTTATACTGATAACAAGTTTAAACAGGTGCCATTAATACAGGTAACGAGTGGAGGACAGAGGAGCCTCTTAAAGAAGAAGTTACAGGTCTGTGAGAGCCAGAAATCTTGCTTGTTTGTAGGTGACCAAATACTTGTTTTCCACCATAATTTGCAAATAAATTCATTAAAAATCCTACAATGTGATTTTCTGGAGAAAAAAAGTTCTCTATTTGTCTGTCATAGTTGACGTGTACCTATGATGAAAATGACAGGCCTCTCTCATCTTTTTAAGTGGGAGAACTTGCACAATTGGTGGCTGACTAAATACTTTTTTCCCCCACTGTACATCATTCCATGCATCAGAGGAATTACTAAACATCTAACTAATTGCTCCACAATGGAAAGCTTGTCAAAAACCTGAAACAAGCAGTTGACAAGCGCCTGACTGTTTATGAGCAGAAGAAACCATACCAGATTGTCTTAGTCTTGGATACACACTTTAACTGGCATAGTGCAATGCCACTGAGAAGGCTGCCCTTACTGAAGACATCAATGGTCTTGCCAAAAAGTTCAACAGCACTATACAGGATGTCCCACACGGTGAGCCACCACCACCAGTGAAGAAAAGTCGATTGGACACACTGTTTAATTTCATGGAACAACCAAGCATGGCTGCATGTACTCCAAACCTCATCCCCCCATATCTTCCACCAACTACTGATCCTCTGAAATTCAGGAATACACACAGTCAAACATACCCAACACTGAGCAGAGTTGCTGCTGAGTACCTACATATCCCAGCATCCTCTGCAGCTGTGGAGTTGCTTTTCAGCATTAGAGGGCATATCTTCAGACCAGATCACTGCTCAATGTCCAACTAGCTTTTTGAAACCCTGATGTTTTTTAAATGTAACATGGCATCTTGTCTTCTTTCATAAATCACCAATGTAATGTATGGGCTGCATATTGTGATAGAAAAATGAAATAAGACTTATAGATGTTAAGTTGTTTGTTATTTCAAATGTAACTACTAAGTACAATACATTCACAACTATTTTCATATGCATCCAAATAATTCAAATATTTTTGGGAAAATACTGTCTTTCAAATATGTCTAATGATATGTATTTGAATACATTATAAATACATGCCAATACTTTCCAAATTGTATTGTCAAATACATTTCAAAATTCAAGTACTTGTTTTTTTAAATAATGGTTATCTAAATAGTTGTTTTGAAATGTATTGAAAAGTAATTGAAATACCTGAAATAGTATTTGAACCCAGGTCTGCATCATAATCGTATTTTATTTTATTTTAATAGCCCTCTTTGTTTTTATTGATCCATACAATATATTGTTCACAATATTTTGTTCACTGTCTAGCAATAAAAAATAATAGATAGATATCTCCAAATCCCCAAAACATGCCACTACACCTCTACACATCACCAGTGGGACAATCCAATTTGCTAGCCCCCAGTAGTTTCTACAATGCATACACATATATCTGTTGCAATATAAAGGACTTACAACAGAATGACCTTATTGCAATAGAGTGGCCATAAAATGTGAGAGTGTAGGTCTACTCCACACAAATGGTTAAAGTCAATAAGTAAGTAGTCAGTTATTATATTTCCATACTCACAAGTTTCTACTGTTTGCTTACAGGATGCTACCACCTGCTGGTTACAGTTGGCACCATTGTTCCTATGTCACTTTCTGGTACCTACCTCATGTACATGGATGCCACGGCAGTTTCCATGTGACGTTACGGTCAATACTACCAATACCACGGATGACATCATCTTTAATTGTGAGGAGCGTCGACTGAAAAAGGTACCTGTTGGCATCACCAGGAATGTGACCGTGCTGGACCTATCAGAAAACAACATCAAAAATGTATCTCTTGATGCATTTTCTAATCTGGAGAACCTGACCCTTCTCAATCTCAACTGTGTCAACAAAAAAGGTGAAACGCACATAGCTGAAGGTGCCTTCAAAAATCTGACAAACCTGCAGGACCTAAGGCTTAATGACAATGGCCTCATCAACATTCCTCAAAATCTCCCACTCATTCTGGATAAACTCATGCTGGACAATAACAAGATCAATTTCTCAAATATGAGCAACCTCGCCGGTATACAACATGTGAAGGAGCTGTACTTATCCAAAAATTGCTATTACTGGAATCCCTGTGAGACTGACTTTACTATTGGAAACGGCACCTTCTCAGTATTGACTAACTTGAAGGTTTTGATGTTGGCCTATAATAATTTAACTCAAGTTCCAAAAGGACTGCCAAGCTCTATACAAGTATTACACCTTGATTCAAACAAGATACAGCAAATTGCTGAGGATGATTTCCTTGGACTAACCCATCTAAAAATCCTGGAATTACAGGGAAACTGTCCAAGATGCTCCAATGCTCCATATCCTTGTGTTCCCTGTCCTAATGATTCTCTGGATATTCATCCTCATGCATTTCATGGTCTTACACAGTTACAGACACTGCACCTAGCAGGCAACTCACTTCGTTTCATCAATAACTCCTGGTTTGAGAGCTTGAACAATCTTACACATCTGTTCCTGTCTTATAATTACTTAGCAAATACAATCACCAATGGAACATTTTTTAGCTATCTTCCAAAGCTAGAAAAGATTGATTTGTCATTTAATTATGATTTGCTTGCCTACCCTGAAACGCTACAGCTTTCAAAAAACTTTTCACAATTGGTGTCTCTTACAACATTACATATAATGGGTTTTGTTTTTAGGGAAATTCATTCAGAAACACTCAGACCGCTTTATGAACTAAGAAATCTTTCAGTGTTGAACATCGGAACTAACTTTATTGTTCGCTCTGATTCCCACATATTCAGCAAATTCTCAAACTCAAGTCTCAAAGTCATATATCTTGCAGAAAACAGGCTTTATCCACTTTCAGTGAATGAGTCCCCAGGTTGTGGCATAGGAAGCAACTTAAATTCAGTGTTGTACACATCGCCACTAACTGGATATTATTCCAATTCAAGGGACTTTTCTTACGGATTAAATCACAACCTTGTGAAGCCAGAATGCTTTATCTCTGGTCGAGTGCTGGTCCTTAGTTCAAATAATATATTTTTCATTTCTCCAAAGCAATTTGAGGGCTATGGTGACATTGCATGTCTAAACTTATCAAGAAATGGATTTTCAGCAGCATTGAATGGAACAGAGTTCACCTCATTACCAGACCTAAAATATCTGGACCTGTCCTTTAACAAGATTGACCTGGCTTATGACAACGCCTTCAAGGAATTAAAGAAACTCGAAATATTAGACCTAAGCTACAACAGCCACTATTTTGAAGTGTCTGGTGTGACACATAATTTGAATTTTTTGAAAAATCTACCGACTTTGAAAGTATTGAATATGTCACACAATAACATTTTTACATTAACCACTAAGCAGATGATAAGCACATCTTTAAAAGAGCTTCAATTTCAACACAATTTGTTGGCAACATTATGGAAAGAGGGGGATGACTCATACAACAGCCTTTTTAAAAACCTGATGAATTTGACCTATCTGGATATATCATTTAACAGCATTGAGAAGATCCCATCAAAAGTCTATGAAAACATACCATATACCCTTCAAAAACTATGTATTAGTCATAATACACTCAACCATTTCGATTGGGATAAACTGGCTAATTTCCAACAACTGAATGTCCTGGATCTAAGCTACAATTCTTTATTTCATGTGTCAGCAAATCTCTCAAACTTCACAGATACACTTCAGATGCTTGACTTGAGCCACAATCAGATTTCTCAACTCTCTGGTGGATTTCTTAGGGGTGCTCAAAGCCTTCAGATACTTGACCTCAGCTACAACCAACTGACTATCATCAACGAGACCACCTTCCTATCGGGCCCTGAAAACTACATGAAAACCATGTCCTTGCAAGGTAATCCATTCCAGTGTACCTGTGATTTACTAGAGTTCATCCTGTGGATTGAAGAGAACAACGACGTGGAGATCCCCAGACTGGCCAGTGAGGTGACCTGCAACATGCCAGCCAAAACAAGAGGCCAACCAGTGATACTGTTTGACATTAAAGAATGCGTCAAGGACAACATAGCTTTCCTGATTTACTCCCTCTCCACTTCCTTGATCATGTTCACTGTGGTCATCACTATGGCAGCACATATGTTTTATTGGGATGCCTCCTATATTCTATACTATCTGAAGGCAAAGCTGAAGGGCTACCATTCCTTGAGTTCAACAACAACAGACAATCTCTATGATGCCTTTGTTACCTACGACACCAGAGACCCGTTTGTGTCAGACTGGGTGCTGAACCACTTGCGGGTGCAGCTGGAAGAGAGGGGGGAGAGACACCTGCCTCTCTGTCTGGAGGAGCGAGACTGGGCCCCCGGGGTCCCCCTGATAGACAACCTCTTCCAGAGCATCCAACAGAGCCGCAAGACCGTCTTTGTGCTGACCGAGGCTTACGTCAGGACTGGGACCTTCAGGATGGCTGTGTACCTGGCCCACCAGAGGTTGCTGGATGAGAACATGGATGTGATTGTGTTGATTCTCCTGGAACCCGTGCTGCAGCACTCTCACTTCCTCCTTCTGCGGCGGCGTCTGTGTGGGAGGAGTGTTCTAGAGTGGCCCCAGACTGCAGCTGCAGAGACCTGGTTCTGGCAGTACCTAAGGAACGCGGTCAGGTTAGACAACCAGTTGATGTACAACAAGATCTACTCCAGGTACTTCACCAACAAGTAGAGCACAGTCCAGACCAGAGACTCAAGAGGAAAGTATCTTTCTCACACAAATAGACTGAGCAGTTTCACACACAAACTGCGATACCTTTTACAAGCTCTGACTCTGACTATATCAGTGTGTCTAACTCTGCACTGAACAATATGGATGGTACTGTACATCTGAAATCAACAATATGTAAATCATTGTGCTATTCATTGTTCTAATGCCAAACACTATGGCCACCAGCACTAACTGTGCATTATAGTTGTGGTTCAGTTTTTCAGTTTCCAGTGTTATGCTGTCTATTGGTAGTAGATGGTTGTAATGAAATATAACTGTATTTTTCTGTTTGTTTTTGTCAATATGATTTTTTTAAATCATTACTTGGAGCAGTCAGTCTATGGACATATGTCTTTACATGATAACAGGAAGTGAACTAGTCCTAAGTTCCTGTTTCTTTAGGCTCAGATGGGGATGTGAATCTGTGGCTATGGTGCTAGCCTGTCAGTGGCACTTCTTTCTTTCTTTATTTTACTTAGAAAACTATAGCCTGCAGTGATTTAATTGAACCGGTATTGTTACAACACACTATTTTATTATATTTATCATCATTTCAAAAGATCACAATTTCAAAACATTGTTTAGGGAATATCTTGTAAATGTAGACTGATACAATACATTGAACTATACAGTCACATCATCAAGGTGCCTTATGATCATTGAAAATGCATTATCTAAATGTAATCAATGACTTTGGGATCTGTAGCATTTTACGGTTGCATAGCCTACAAACAGGCAGGTCTATGTTTCTAATGCAACCCAATAAAGCCAGCGTTACCACCTGATGTAATACTGTGTAAATCCACAGGATGTCATCATTGAGACAATCAGGAAGAGTTACTTAGGCGGTGACCGTGGACTGGTTTGGGTTGGCAGCGCAATGCTCTAATATCAAATCAGATTAAAACAAATTGTCCAATACGTTAAACCAATAAAAGCATAACTATTATTTATGCTTGCTCGCTTGTAAAGATTGATGTAATATATATATATATATTTTTTTCAAACCAAGATGAGCTCGAGAGTGAAGGGACGTGACGTCATGTTCAACATTTGCATATTCCAGAGTATAATAGACCTTGCTTGACCTACGCGCCTTCATTCGTTCTTTGCGCCATCGGGATTGAGACGAGTCAGTAGCCAGTATAACTCAGGTGAGTGCGCAAACACATTATCTATTGTCATAAGGCTTGCATAGCCTGTTTTTCTGAGTTACTTTACAGCACTGCAATATGTTACTCTGATGTTAAGCTAGGCTACAAAGGGTCGAACCGCTGCAATGGGGCATAAAACCCTAATGCAATAAAGGATGCAACTTGTGTTTTTATATGTTGATAAAGCCTTTTTCAATGGCATGTTGTATACATTTAAATGGGTAACCCAGTAGTCTCAGGCAAGATGCTGAACCTACTCTCTTTGAGTGTAGTTGGAACGTAGGCCTATCATGTCAATATGTAGCGTGGATGTAATGTCGACTCGTCAAATACTGCGTAAAATATAATGGGGTTTAGGCAGTGCTACAATGCCAATATGACAGCGAAGTTGCAAATGTTTGAAAGGTTGACTCCACTTCTGCTTCAACCTGTGTTTTGAGATTCTGCGAAGCAGGGCGGTGGTTCTTCTGCCTCAGCCTGCCTGCAGTCGGCTCGCACAGAATGGCACAATTATTTTCTCTAGTCTTATCGCCGATAATGAGAACACGTGCTCTTGGAATAAACGCCTTAATACAATTTGCGTTTACTTTTATAAAAGCAATACTGGACTTTTATGTGGAATGCTTGCCCTGACATTTCATCCCCATGTGCTGTAGTTGATTTCTCGTTCGGTCTGCTTTTGAAGGGGTTTGTTAGAATAGATCGGCCTATTAAGAGTAGCATATGATGGAAGCTATGCAAAAAAAGATGTTAAAGGCCTGGTTTCATATGTACCTATCTGGAATAAATCACTTTGCTGCTTTTTCATTCACATTGAAAACGATTTGTTTTATCTTTGACCAGATCCTCTGCAAACATGTCTGACAAGCCAGATCTCGCTGAAGTCTCCAACTTCGACAAGACAAAGTTGAAGAAGACTGAGACGCAAGAGAAAAACCCCTTGCCCACCAAAGAAAGTAAGATTGGTTCATTCTACTTAATGGCACTTATCATTTGTGAAATTGTGTTTACCTTACTAACAAATTGCCCAGTTATACACTTCTGCATACAGACACTAAAACAACTTTTCCCTTCATTGCAGCCATCGAACAGGAGAAGCAAGCAACAGCATGAAGCCCAAGCCTCTGCTATGCACTGTACATTCCACAAGCATTGCCTTTTTCACCTCTTAGCTCTATAACTGTGTAACCCAAAACCTAAGTTGCATTGTGATTGGACAAAAGCAATGACTGTACAGCCCCCTCCCCAGAACCCCTCCCTCTTATTTTTTTTACTTCAAGTCTGAAAGAAAACTACTGACTGGCAGTCTTTGACTAGGAAGATGTGTCTACTCACTTCAGTGCTCTGTCACCTGTCCCTGACTTCCAGCCACTTGTGGTTGTGAAGGGAAGAGGAAGGGTGTGATGGATCAGCCCAACCCGGGGACCCACACTTCTGACGTGTAGTTCAGCTTCTGGCAACCTGTGAAATGCTTTCAAATCAAGCAGTGTTTTTGTTTTACTTGTTCAAGTTGTTTTGTATAAGTTCAATTCTTGGAATGCACAAGTTTGTTTTGATATGCAAATAAAAAATAAACAGTTTTTTGGTGACGTAGGTTATTTTCATACATTTTGAATACGCTTAAACTAGTTTCCAGTCTGAAGTTGTTCTCATAAATTTGTTTTGTACAACTCTGCACATTAGTCAAGTGGGTCTAGACCATGTAAATTGGGGATATCATTTTGGAATACTGGAATCTCGTTGCATCAAAAGGCTGAGTAATCACAACAGCCAGAATCCAAGCAATGTTTTGCCTAGCTGTTGTGGTAGACTGGGATGTGGATTGACTGGTGGGCTTTAGCGCACTACGATGAGCAGACATTGCCTGTGCTGGCACAGTGCACCTGCCAACTGACCTAGAAAAGCACCCATGGCAATCATTACTGCAAATTGCCGGTCTGCCCACGCAAAACAATGCACCCTTTGGCGTTGGAGTACACCAGAAATCTTCTGCCTCCAGTCCATCTGTTGGGCTGGAATTGGGACATGTTAACTTAATTGTAAAGTTTTGAAGTACTGGATGTTTCCATTGAATACAAGTCCCTTATTGACCTCGTATACCAGGTCAAATCATGTTTAGTATAGGGCACACAGGCACTTTCTGATGTCACAACTCCCCATGGGAGGTTAAATGCACTGTACAAAACAGTGTAAATGTGTATAGCCATATCTGCATTTGTGGGACTTTTGACTAATCAACTCAGGCAGATTACAAGCTGTTGTAATGTTGTCCTTAAAGACAGTCTGCCCTCATCAAGCTCTTATCTCATTAAACCACCCCCACCATGATTCAGGCCAGAAGTACATGTCATGCTCTGATCTGGGCGTATGGTGGAGTCCATATCCTCTTTGGATAAGTCAGGAACATCCTGAGCCCCCCCCCCCCCCCCCCCCCCCCCCCCCCCCCACAGCGTCTCAGCACAGTGGCATAACACATCACAGTAAAACCCAACACAGATTGGCTCAGCCCAGGGAAGCTATAGCCTCTGCCCCAGATTGCTCTAGCCCATCTTAGTCAAGTCCAGTCCAGTATAGAGTCCATCCCAGATCAGCCCTGTACAGGACATCTTCCTTCCTCTCAGCTGCACCGGGCCATTGTTCACTCAGTTCAGAAGAACAGGAGCCCCCACTCTGCTTCCAGCTGTGATGCAGCTATTTCAGACAGCCAGCTGACGTAGACACAATGAAAGGCTCCCCCTCCGCTGTCATAGCGTCCTCCTACTACCTTGGGCAAGACTACTGTCTCAGTGTGGAGGAGGGAATGCAGTCTTCCCATGCAAGCTATCCCACACCCACCACACACACAGATTCTGGTGTGAGATATGAGTAGCCTGATAAAATACAGCACCAGAAAGATGGGTGCTGTTGACTTACAGTGTTGTCAAATACACTGAACAAAAACTACAACGCAACAGGTAAAGTGTTGGTTCCATGTTTCATGAGCTGAAATTAAACATCCCCGAAATGTTCCATACGCACAAAAAGCTTTTCTTACAAATGTGTACAAATTTGCTTAGATCGCTGTTAGCGAGCATTTCTCCTTTGCCAAGATAATCCATCCACCTGACATGTGTGGCATATGAAGAAGCTATTTAAAAAAAGCATGATCATTACACAGGTGCACCTTGTGCTGGGGACAATAAAAGGCCACTCTAAAATGTGCATTTTGTCACACAACAACAATGCCACAGATGTCTCAAGTTTTGAGGCAGCATGCAATTGGCATGCTGACTGCATGAATGTCCACCAGAGTTGTTGCCAGAGAATTTAATGTTAATCTCTACCAGAATTTGGCAGTACGTCCAACCGGCCTCACAACCGCAGACCACGTGTAACCACGTCAGCCCAGGACCTCCATATCCGGCTTCTTCACCTGCGGGATTGTCTGAGACCAGCCACCCAGACAGCTGATGAAACTGTGGGTTTGCACAACCAAAGAATTTCAGCACAAACTGTCAGAAACCGTCTCAGGGAAACTCATCTGCATGCTCGTCGTCCTCACCAGGGCCTTGACCTGACTGCAGTTCGGCGTCGTAACCGACTTCAGTGGACAAATGCTCACCTTCGATGGCCACTGGCACACTGGAGAAATCTGTTCTTCACTAATTAATCCCAGTTTCAACTGTACTGGGCAGATAGTAGACGTTTGGGTGAGCAGTTTGCTGATGTCAACGTTGTGAACAGAGTGCCCCATGGTGGCGGTGGGGTTATGGTATGGGCAGGCATAAACTATGGACAACGAACACAATTACATTTTATTGATGGCAA